CAACTAAACAAATTTACCACATTGCAATACTTTATTTTATGAGACTGTAACCTAAAAGTATATGTTTTGGTTTCAATTTAAGCAAGTGCTACACATACATCAACACTGAAGATGTCATGAAAATCAATCTCAATAGCAACATACTCCCGCTTTCTTTCCCCTTCCGTCTTCATACTTGTCATATACTGATCCATTCATTGACAGAATATTAACATAAAGAGGTCAGAATAGGGCTACAGTTGTGTCAAGGCTAAAGTCCATTTCTTGATAAAGACAGCTGATAAATACCAGAATAGTGACCACACATTTTGAATAACAAACCTGAGAACAAAGTTCTCTTATTTGGGAAAGAAAAGTATGTACAATAATTTCTGCAATATTCCATACAAGTCCATTCATTGTCCTATTATACAAAGAAGCTAGGAAAGTTAACTGTACATCATATTCTTATTGCTGCTGATAATGGAAAATAAAATGTTCATATCTGTCCTATGACAAACACGTAACTCTCAGCTGTGCACTGGAACTGAATTTAGGAACTTTGATATGTGAAGCAGAAGTTCTAATTTCTATGGCATAGTGGTTATGGCTCGCCAATTTTCAGTTTCAACACAAGTAACACACCTTAGCTAACAGAAAGCCAGGATGTCTTAGTCAGTATAGTGACTCGCTGTGAGCTGGACAACCATGGGGTTGGAGTGTGAGTTCCACTAGGGGCAAGAATTGTCTCCACATCATCCAAACCTCCATGTGGTTAACCTACTGTCTTACATATTTTCTGCTTCAATTTTGTTAACAGATGAACTAATGTAACCTGTGATACATGCAATAACTTACAGACCCTTTATACCTACCCTGCTACAATATTTGATGAATACTACACACAAATGAAAACTAGACATGATATACATCTAGTGATTTTCAAAAGTACTTAAATAGAGGAATGAATCAGACTTTAATACGAGGTCTGACAAATAACTGGAACGTGTCAGTACGTAAGTAAAGCTATCCCTGTTAACAGGCCGTAGAGGGCCTTAGGGTTGTGAGATGTTGAGGTTCCCACATTTTCTCGACAATCGGCTCATAGATAGCGGCAAGGTTGTCAGTCTTACGCACTGGCCGCCGTTTACACCCAAGAATATTCCAAGAATATTCCTGGTACTCATTTCTGTTAGAGGCTGAGTCCACCCCAGGGACACAGTGCAGCTGGAAGGATCAGGTCAATTGAAAAAAACATCCAATGACTTCATTAGGACTTGAACCCACGACCTTCTGGTTTGTAGCATAGTGCCTCAACCAACTAAGCTACCGCAGGCCCCAGGAATGTGTCAGTAGCCCACAAAAAGTGTGTGTGTTGTCAATATCTGAGTTTTCACCTTTAGATACTATATGCCCATGTAATGACCCCACCATGCCTGTAAATAATTTTCCAGAAGTTCTTTCTTTATTGCTTTCTGATTGCTCTGAATGTCTCATGATTCAAAATGATGCTCTTGCAAGGAGGTTCTCAGTTTTTAGAACATAATGAAGTGACATGGAAGCACTCAGTCCACCATGCTGCTGTTCCAACACTAGTATTTATTTTCTAGCTAAAAAGTGTTATAGGAAAAGTGCTGTCTGAGTGCAAAGTCCACTGGTCTAGTCAATGACTTTTCTTTAACTATTTTGATGGATGCACTGTAATTTGCATTCCAGAACTCAAAGGCAAAACACCTTTGATACACTGAATTGAAAGAATGGTATATATATCAGTTTTATGGGGTCATTCCATCAAATTCTCCACAAATAAGAATATCTAACTAATTCAAAATTGTAATCAACTGTAAACAATTGTAACTATTGTAATTTTAATCTTACTCATATATTAAATTGTTAATATTCAGAATTAACTTGACTTGTCCTATATCATGTACAATGATCTACAGTGACGAAATCAATCAATCAATCATTCACCATACTGGCTCCAATGATGGAGATCACTGAAACATAGGTTTTCAACTCAACACTGACATGGCTGATTGTGCGAGAAGACTTTAGCACATTTAGTTGCCGTCAAAGCTTGAAATGTTACCTTTTCTTTGTTTTAAATTCGCTTAGTGGGGTGTGGAGTCCAACTGGGTCCACTCAGCACGGCGGCCACTGATTGGCCTATTGCAGCTTGCCCTGGGTGGTTATGTTGATGGAGAATTTGGTGGAATGAAGATTGGCAGGGGAAACCGAAGTACTCAGAGAAAACCTGCCCCAGTGCCACTTTGTCCACCACAAATCCCACTTGACCAGACACGGGATTGAACCCAGGCTGCCGCGGTGGGAAGGCAGCGACTAACCGCTTGAGCTATGGCGCTGCCCAAATCATACCTTAAGTGACTGCATGTTTTGGTGGAATAAACTGTAATGGATAATTCCCAGATACTGAGAAAACAGATCAATATGATTCTGACTTTTTTAGCAGCTGTACTTTCCTCAGTATCTAGCATTTGGTTTCTGTGTTGGGCTACAAAATCCACATCTCATCATGAATTAATACTTTGGACAAATGATTGGATTCTTCAAATAATCTTTCTGAAAGTTTTAGTCAGTAGTCCCTTTTCTTTTTATAAAGAAACAAAACACTGTGCCAATAAAATACTTTGTTCAACCACAACAAACAACTGTTCAACAGCTAAATATATGATCAAATATGTATCAACTCACCAGTGTTGTCAGTTGCTTTACACAAACATCAGTCTTTTTTTTTTTTTTCATTCTGGTCTGTCACACTAACAATTACAAAGGCAAAAATACAGGGTTTGTCCGAAAAGTAATGTCAGTTATTTTATTGTGAAGTGACTATATGTCGCAGCACTCTCAGACCGGTTGGGATCGGTGGAGGGGGAAGTCAGCTTATGAACCCGCGGTCGCTTAGTCGTCTCCGAACTTCCTGAGAGTGACGAAAGGCTTTTCCGTGAAACTCGTTTTTGTCTCCCGTGCAAGCCGCAATGCAGCGCTCCTTGGAACAAAGGATTGCCATCATGTTTTGTGTGAAACTTGGCAAGTCTGCAGTGGAAACTTTTCCCATGATAAAGACGGCCTTCGGTGATGATTGTTTGTCGGAATGTCAGGTCTACCGGTGGCACAGGGCCTTTTTAGAAGGCCGTGAAGAGGTCGACGATGAAGCCCGCGCTGGACGGCCATCAACAAGCACCACCGACGAAAATGTGAGTTTGTACTACATGGTACAACCATCAACGCCAAATTCTACATGGAAGTGCTAAAGAGACTCAAACGAAGTGTTTGTCTCATCCGGCCCGACATCGCGGACGATTGGAAACTTCACCATGACAATGCGCCAGCCCACACCGCCTTCCTCGTGACCCGCTTCCTGACCAATTCAAAGGTGCCAACGGTTCCCCAGCCGCCCTACAGTCCTGACGTGGCTCCCCAGACTTCTTTTTGTTTCCGCGCTTGAAAACTCTCATGAAAGGACATCATTTTGGGACAGTTGGCGAAGTCAAAGAGGCTTGCACCAAGGCTCTAAAGGACATTCCGGAGGAGGCCTACCATGACGCCTTCGATGCCTAGAAATCTCGCTGGAATCGATGTATCGACGCAGAAGAAGCCTATTTTGAAGCCTTTTAATGTGTTGCACCGATCTAATCCATAAAAGTTTTTTAATCGACTCACTGACATTACTTTTCGGACAAACCCTGTAATACTGTCTAATGTGACTATTTAAGTTTTATCACTTGAGGATTTATCTCCCTTACATGTTTCGATCCTTATTATTTTTGCCTTTGTAAACATCAGTCTATTTATATGATTGTCAGATCACATACACATACATTTTCTATACATACAGATAACCCCTTTCTCCCATATATAAATGAATTATTTCACTTAGTGTGATGCGGAGTCCAGCTGGGTCCACTCAGCACGGCTGCCACTGATTGTAGCTTGTCACGAGTGATTATGATGATGGAGAACTTGGTGGAATGAAGATTGGCAGGGGAAACTGAAGTACTTGGAGAAAACCTGCCCCAGTGCCACTTTGTCCACCACAAATCCCACTTAACCAGACCCGGGATCAAACCTGGGTGGCCACGGTGGAAAGCCAGTGACTAACCGCTTGAGCTATGGCACGGCCTACATAAATGAAACTTTCAAAACTGCTTCATGGTACAGCAGCTGCAGCTTAAGCTTCTTCACTGTGCACCAATGAGGCGCTATTTACTGCAAATGACTTCTGGCTAACATATGATATGGAAAGTGCAGTGGCTTCCATGACAGTCCATAACATGAAGCAGGACAATTCAGTAAAGTTACTGGCTACTGCATGGATAACTGTAGTTTGGTTTCCAGCAGTGTCAGTAATTTTTCACTTCATTACCATGTCCATAACAAATCTGGGGCCCAACCAGTCTTCTCTCTATTGACTACTAGGGTCCTTTCCCAGGGATAAGACAGTAAGAACACAAAGGTGACAAGTCATCTCCCTCTGGGGCTCAGGTCTCAAATGTGCAAATGTGTGGAGCATTATCTCCAAGCCCTAATATGCCTTCACAGTATGACACAAGAGATTCTGTCTCTATGGGGGCATTAATGTTTTAAAAAAGCTTTTTCATAGTATGAAAAATATTCAACTCATAAAATTTGGCACTCTACACTATTTTTTCATATGAAACTGCAAAACAAAAACCTAACAATGGATTCACTCTGGCTTTCAACAACAAAAATGTATCCTTTCATTCCAGAATTATTTTCATGCTTTTGTTGTACATACTATTTAATTTACCAATGAAGACAGTTTTCAGTATACTGCAGTTTGTATGCTTACAATTATAAAACATGCCATCACAATACCTGAATATTCAACAGAAATCATGCATTATTAACACAAGTTACCACAAAACACAATTCCTCTTTACATGCATAAAGTCCCAAATTATGATCATATTCATAATTTACCAAAAAGAAAAATACTGAATATAGTAATAAAACAGACAAGAAATGTAATGTCATACCAATTCTGTCTTGCTTCCTGAAGTCTTTAAACCTCTTCTCTTCAGTTCTGTTTTAAGTTGATCTTTGGTGAAACCAAGATATTCTGACTGATCTACCATGTCACCAGAAGAGGAACAACCACGCACTTTTGATGCATTCCCATGATTCTTGCGTCCTAAATTATTCTGCACAGATTTACTGCTTTTATTTGCTGCAGAAGTGCTGTTCTTCTTTGACCCCATTTCACTCCCCGACCTCGATAATATGTCCTTTCACTACTCCTTTGAAAATTCCTCCACCAAATGATCATGCAACTCAAACTACAAGCATTGGCACGTGTTTACAGGGCCGTTGCTCAGAAACGGGTTGAATAACCCAGTTGTTCTATTGTTGCCTACGTGTATGTTGGTTGCGTTACCAAGCAAAGGCAGGTATTTAGAGAGTCACTGATTAGCAAATGGTCTATAAGTGATAGTATAACAGAAATATTACGACTGAATGTTAGTAAAACTAGTAAAAATACTGCTATTAATAGACATAATATGCAGGAAACCTACAAGTGCAGTCACAGAGCTTTAAGGAAGAGAAATGTTTTCCACAGAAAGCAACACTCAAATTTTATTTTAAAAACAATTTATCTTCATATATTTGCTAAACAAACCTGATCTCACACAGAAACAAGCTCTATATCGAATTTTAAGGCATACAATGCTGACATGATATTTCTAAGTCAATGAAGTTTCAATCCTTACATCCGCTATATAATGTTTACTGAACAAAACAGCTATAACACAGGCAAATGTATACAACATTTAAAGCCGCCAATTCTTCTCTTAATAGAATTCACGCTTTCTACATCATCAACCATCAGGTGATCACCACCAAAAATTAAAACCCCTGGTGGCAGACGTCACCACCGTTCAGGCATTGATTGGAATATTTTAGATTACATAATTGACCAACACTACTCTTTGCTAGGGCTTCGACATTAACATGTGAACAATTTTTACCTTCGATGAACTATTCACACAAATGCATAATATATAGCTATTAATAAACACACAAGCAATAGGTCATAATAACGAAACATAGAATATGAGGTATTTCATACATAACAACTTTCTTCCATGTTGAACACACTTTCGAAGCTTTCGAGCTTTCGAACTTGCGTTGATAAAACTCAGGCAAACCACTACAGCCTCATTAAATATCTCTATTCCTGCTAATTTATTTGTATAATCTACATGTCCTGTCTATATGTGTAGCTTCATGTAAATTAATTGACTGAGTCTGCTTGAGAATGGTGCCGAGGGAAATATTGCGACCGAAAAGGACAGTAATAGGGGATGGAAGAAATTTAATAATAAAAGGCTTCACAATTCGTCCTCTTCAAATGCAAGGATGATTAAATAGAGGAGGATAAGAGTTGCAAAGCTTGTAGCACGTCTGCGACAGAACATAGATAATACGAAGTTCTAATAGGAAAACCCGAAGAACGAACACAACTTGGAAAACCTAGGCGCATCTCGGAGGCTAGTAATAAAATAAATCTAAAATAAGCTTAGGTTTGCCAGGTTTTCTTGTTTGACCTTCGTATGTATGTATGTTCTGTCCCAGACGTGTTATATGCTCCTCCCATCTCCTCTATTTTATTGTCCTCGCATTTCACCAAGAGTACACTCTGTAAAGCCCATAATTATTATATTTATAGATTTCTTCGGGCCCAAATTACTATCCTCTTCGGTCGAAATATATTGGTTAGCACCCTGATCTCAAGCAGCCTCCGTTTATTCATTTTCATAAAGCTATACACAGAGACAAACAACGCGTAGAACATGAGTGCGTGGACCGGAATCAGCACTCAATAACAAGCTCTTGTAAATATGTTAATGAACCTCTGAGTTCCATACACTACCAATAATCTCTTCAGTAACCAAACAGCTATTAGCTTCACAAGTACTCTTTGCAATAGAGCTAGTTTTTATGGGTGATAGTGGTATTGCTGCATTATGGCCGCGAAGGAAGTTTAGGCCTTAGAGAACAGTGACTGTGGTGCCGTGGGACATTCCTCTTCTTCTTGTAAATTAATTCTACAATCGCTATTGTAAACAAATATATATTTTCCTAAATAACTTAATATGTACAAATAAAATTTATAATATTAATGAACATTCGCCTATCATCTTTGATGTGATAGGTGAAGCGTCTTGGAGATAAGTGTATATTCAATGATAAACAAATGAAACGAATAAAAAATTCTTCCGCCAGATAGCACGTTCACCACACAATCAAATAAGGCGCTGATGTTTTTTAGGATGTTTTTGTTGTGTGGGGCAAAGGTCAAAGCGTAGGGTTGAGGGAGGTTATAGCTGAATGTTTACCTTTAAGCGGGTTAGTATAGTGATTTATTATTGTAATTCTGTATAGACTACGTGTATTATTAATTTAATACATTCCCTTTTGAAGTCGTTGTTCATCTTTTTCCCGGTCGATCATTTACATGTACATTGCGAGTATTGACAATAATAATGGCTGCCAAGCACAGGAGTTGAACCCAGGCCCTCGATGAATGTGTATGTTGTTTGTCTATTTTAATAATAGAATATGTGCACGTGCATTGTGTTTTGAGTACGTAATTAACAGTATAGGCAACATAAACGTTGTACATTGTGTTTAGTGACTTTTTTATGTACACACCTTATTAAGGTTGGCTCCCTGTCATTATCTTCTCAGGAGATAGTTATTTAGCTGCACTAATTAGATGAGTAATGATAGAATTAGCTATAATGTTGTTTTATAATATTTATTTAATTCGTTTTATCAAAGATGCCTTAGTAATTGCAATTCAATAAAGAGCTGCTGTTGACTGGTAATGAAGTGTACTCTGGATAGGTTCAATGAAGTAAATCTTAAAGACTCTCTTAGTTGGTATATGCTAATGTAATGTATTTCCATTGCAGTCCCGGAAACTTCCATCTCATGACAATGAAGAAAGGCTAAAAAGGGAAGACATACACTACATTTGGAAATGGAATTTTCATAGTGAAAAAACACAAGATTTAAACTGGGGGAAGAACAATTCCTTCATGTACATAGAGAATTCTCAGGGATAAAGCAGTAACATTTTTTTAAGAATATTTATGGACATCCTAGTCCAAAATACACAGCATTCTGATCACTAAGGAAATCACTCAGTTAAAAGAAACGAGTACAACTAAACAAGTAACAACGGGTTATGCCTTACTAACTCCTTCAGATTATCCACAGTTTTATGTTGAAATAGTTACAGGAATACATACAAGTTATATTTTATCTACACAGACATACCTTCCATATATTATTATATCTATACACATACTACAATATTTCATATATACCCCATAATTATACAATAGGTCTCTGTTCGATTTTCATCGACAGAGAAATTTATGTTACTGTTAACAATAGAATAACCAGTTAAATGTTACAGTTCCACTGAAGAAATACCAAAGAAGGAAAAACCCCTTAATAAATCAGGTGCATCACATCATACCATGAAAGGAGAACTTTTTCAAATATAAGCAACCTACATATACCTTTTGTACATAAATATATATTTTCAATCCAGAAATCAAATTACGTGAACTAAGCAAGTGCATAGTAGGTCTGCTTAAAACCTGGAATGCATATAAGCTGTATGCAGAAGTGTTAATAAAAATATTAAGTAAATGCATTCGATACTAAAGTTAAACTGAAAAGAATGAGTCACAATGAGGAGGGGAGTGATAGAACAAATTTGGAACGGACAAGTTTTCCTTTGTTTCGTCCAAAGAAGAGTAAAGTATCATCAAAGACTTCAAGAGATAGTAGTGGATTATCTAACTGGGGAAAGAGATCAAATGAGGACTATGCAACAAATGTTGAACAGTTTGATGATAATGCAGAGGATAGCGGTCAAGAGGAGTTGACTGCAGGAGGAATGAGGAGGTCTAGTAGTGGTAGTGAAGATGGTGATAGGAACTCTGAGAGCAACAAGGATTTCTCTTCTGGTATTGCATCCACTGGTGAAATGCCAGGTGGACTGAACCCATACATTATGAATCCACTCCTTGCAATGGGTCTCCAGTTACCTCAGTTGGCTGTCCTGATGCAGCAACAACAGCAACAACAGCAGCATCAGCAACAACAACTTCAGAACCCATCCAATATTAACCTTCCATCATCCTCCTCACTTTTAAATCCATTAATGATTCCCCACCTCCTGTCATCCAGCCCAACCCCAGGTGTAATGTTACCACTGGACCAACAGGGGCATACACAAAAACACTGGTTGTATGGAACTTCTGCTTCAGAGGTGGAAAAGCCATTAATGCTAGATGAAATGCAGAAGGGAACAATCATGGGTAGCACAGCCAGCATGCGTAGTATGCCTCGGGTAATGAAAGGATCTAAGGAGCCGCTTTCGTCACAGAGAGAGGATTCTGGCACTTCAACATCCGGCAAACAACCATTTATATGTGAGATATGTAATGATTGGTTTTTTTCTCGTGAGAAATTAGTCATTCATTTAGTGATGAATCATTCAATGCAGCATTGCCATTTTTGTTCTCAACTGTTTGAATCGGAGAGTGTGCTAGTGGAACATGAAAGGCAGTCACATCTTCCACTGGAATGTGACATGTGTAAATCATCTGTTCCGACGTCACAAGACTTGGCTGAGCATTATGAGAGTGAACATGATGTTAGAACATGCATATATTGTGGTGTCCTTGTGAGACCTAAATCATATTATGAGGTCCATGTACGTCGAAAACATTTTGTTAGCTGTGGAGATTCTCTGCAGCAAGACGTTGGGGAAAGAGTTCAGATTGTTGATAAATGGAATGGGCAGGAAGGAAACTCTATCTGGACTTTCGTCTGTAAACTTTGTGGTAAAGAAAGAAAGAGGCTGGAAACTTTTGGTCATTTCTTTTCCTATCACCGTCTGTCGTTGGCCTGTCTTATCCAGCTTCTTGCATCAGAAGGAATTGTTTTTTCGGTTCAGGGAACTCCAGCACCTGGATCGTCAAATGTACAAAACTCAACCCAGCAGCAATCATTGGATTCTGTGGCCTCAGCAGCGGATGTTACTTCCAATGTAGATGCCTCTCAAACCTCAGGGATCTCTGCAGGCAGTGAAGAATCACATCAACTTAAAGAAAATCGCCGTGGTTCGAATTCACCTTCACTAACAACCCCAAGTCGTTGCACCGTGTGTACAAATCCATACTCTGTCCAAGTGCCAAAGCTCGCTCACGATCTCTTCTGTCGCCATAATACTGGCCTGGCCCTTTGCAAGTTCTGTGACCGGACATTTAATAGTAAAACATCACGGAACTCCCATGTTGCAAGGGAACATGGGAGTCTTCCATGCCTTGTTGCAGAATGTTTAACTGATATGGTGTTCACTCAGGAATCTCAGCTTTCTGCTCATTATTTGACAGACCACAGTGTGCGTGTGTGTAGTTACTGCAGAGCACTTGTGTCAACTTGGGAAGCCAAGTTTGTGGCTCATCTTAAGTTGGAACATGCATGTTCTAACTCGGGTCATGCCATTCGAAATATGGATACCAATCTCTCGGGGACCGATCTCTTCCACATTCAGACCTACAACACTTCTGTCTCTGTTATATGCTCACTTTGTGATGCAGATATTACCTCACTGATGAAAGACATAATCTCCTTTTTCAAACACCTTCAGCATCATAAAGTTACCCTGCGTTTGGCACTGATACTATTAGAAACACACCCCCCATGTGATAGCATAGAGAGTCCCGTGGTTTTGAAGGAAAAGACCAAACAAAATGAAGGTTCAGAGCAAAATGTTGCAAATCAGGACATCAGCAAGGGTTCAATGTGGGATGCCATTCCAGCTGCATCGGAGCTAGCAGATGTTAATGTTAAAGGGAGTGAAACAATAGCATGCTTCAGCAGTAAGGATGAAAGTCAGGGAAGTAGAGCAAGAAACAGCAATCAGAAGTCAAATTCTGCTAAAGAAAAGAAGGGTGATGGTGTAGCAGAAGGGAAGAAAAAAACAGATTCATCTGCTATAGAGAATTCAAAGACAAAAAATGGAAATGCACTGGAAAATAGTGGAGGGGACGGAAAAAAGACTGATGGAGATGCGACTGATGATGTCAACTTTGATTCATCGAGTGAAATGAGCTCTGAAGAGGAGTACATGGCATCTGAGGTTGGTGAAAATGAAGATTTGACGGAAGATGATGATGATGAAGAATATACTGTCAAAGAAACAAAGGTAACAGAGAAGTCAAAGAAAAATACTGCACTTCCAGTAACTGAGATGGGCGAGGCTGATATTGACCCAACAGAGGTGGAATGTATCCTCACAGATTCCAGCGATGATGATGGGGACTGTGACAACTTTAATGATGAAGATGATCTTGTGGGTGTGGAAGCTGACAGTGATGAACCAAGTACCATATTTTCATCAAGCAAGATAAAGGAAGAATCCGATAGCAAAGAAATTAGAAGCAGCAGAGACCAAAGAGATGGTAACTTGGAGAATGTTGATATACTTGAACGGTCCATGCAAGAGCTGTTTCGAGATGATACCTCACAGGATGTGGAATTGGATATAAACAAGACCAGTGGCAGAGTAAAGCATGAACCTCAAGAGGAAAGTGGTAGCCAAAGTAATGGGAATAAATCAGAAAGAAAAGGAATAGAGTGTGAAATTTGTCATGGGAAATTCTCGATGAAGGAAGGTCCAAGGCAGTTGTTGGATCACCTGAATTCCCTTCATGGTTTTGCAATATCTGCTTACTGTGCACCAAAAGAGTTTGTTTGCAGTATGAGAGGATGCCGAGAGGTTTTCAGCACTCAAGGATCACTAAGTTACCATTTAAGTGAGGTACATCAGCAAGAACAGAAGATCATTGATGCTGAATCTTTTAAGATCTTCCAGTGCCCATACTGTGCTACCCATTCTACATCAAAGGTAGCCATGCGCCAGCATGTGTTTACCTACCACAGAGAAAATTACCTATCTGAGAATCCTATTGAAGACTTGGCTCACAGATGTCGTTATTGTGCTAGGCTGTTCTGGCGCACAGAGGATCGTGACGATCATCAGGTTGATGTTCACAAGGACAAGATGGACAGCTTCTTCAAGTGTTACATCTGTTCCCATCTCTTCTCTAGCAAGGTATGTTTTGTTTCTGCTTGTAAATTATATTCGATGTTGTATTAGGTCATGAAGTGATAACATAACATAACATTGCATTCCATGGATCCACAGTTAGTCAAAATGACTGTAGCATGTGGAATAGGTCATATAAATACAAAACACATGTACAGTCCCAGTGGAGTTCTCCCTCGAGTCAGGTTGTTTTCTGCTGATATATTGATTACAATTTTGTAGTTATATTGAAAGAAAATTAGTTTAAATGCAGTGAAATATTAGTATGGAAAATGCTATGAAGATTATGGTCTGTGGGATGTGATATTGTGTAGTCTGGGAGATGTTTAACGATAATCAGGATAGAAGAGTAAGAATTAACCTCCCAGAAGACATATGTACTGCTGTGAGAATGTCATATTTACCAAATGTTATGACAAAAATAGCTTGTAGCATGAAATATTTTTTAGCATAATTACACCATAAAAATTGAAGATTATGTCTAATGAAAGATGAGCGCCAGATATAGTTGAGCTCCATAATATAGCTTCAGTCATCTTGCTGAAGCATGTAACACCCTTAAAGATGAAACCGAAGTGTAAATTGGGTTGAAGAGTTCATTCTGTGTTGACATTGACATCTTATGAGTAGTAAACTGTTTTCATAGACTACAGTAGACATTTCACAGCCCTGTTGTTCATTGCTTCCTGTACTTCATCTGCTGCCAGAACAAGGGTGCAGCATTGTTATTTAGTGAAAAAGGAACTTATGGGGCCATTAGAACATTACTAATTTCATTTTCAACTTCCAGTATTCATAAATCATTTGGAAATTGAAACATACATACATGGGATCTTTCTTTTGTTAAGGTTTCCTGTGCGAGGTATTGAGTACCCTGGATTGTAGAATAGATGGACTCTAATAGTCTTATTTTGTCATACAGTACACACCTTAAACTACACCTTATCTACCTTTGCTTATCGTGTACTTAAAGTTATAATGTGCATGTGTTTCTTTTGTTACTGACAGAAATGTTATTGATACAGATGTTTAAGTTGGGGGCAGAAACTTGAATGAATATCAGTATTGAAGCAGATTTAAAGTGTGTTCCAGATGCCCTGAGTCTTATATTACAATTGAGGTTATTAACTATTTTTCTCATCCTGTCATCCTGTTTTTTTTATTGCTTGTGGGGTGGGACTAAGTCCCTTGTACTGCGGCCAGTTTTGGCCTATTGTACCAGCCCCAGATGATAGGTAAGGATGATTGTGGAGTAATTAGTGGAATGAAGATTGGCAGGGGAAACCGAAGTACTCGGAGAAAACCTGCCCCAGCGCCACTTTGTGCACCACAAATCCTACTTGATCAGACCCAGGATCGAACCCGGGCTGCCGTGATGGGAAGCCAGATATCGGATTACAGTGTTTCATTACTTATAATCACACAGAAGTAATTTTTACAATGAACTTATTATTTTGTATTTTCGTTAAATGCACACATAATAAACTACATACTTTTCAAGGATCTGTCATCATATTCAGTTTCAAGACCATGTATTGACTGGCATTGTTGTTCATGTCATCTCAGGCTCACATGGACCAATGTTTTTGATGTTGGTAGAAGGGTGTCAAGAAATATGAATATGTGAAGTCTGCAGGGGCATTATGGTTGTAGCAAATGTCATGGAAATTGGTCAGTTATTTTGATTTGAGATTACAGTCTTCTTGGAAGTGATGCCATGTAATTTGGTAGAAAGATACCAGTGTTTTTGAGAAACCTGCAACTTCCATCTTCAGTAGTCTTGATCGGTCAGATATTGCCTCTTAACTGAATCAGAATCTCACATGGTCCACCATTAGAGTTTGGCACTTTACAATTAATAGTGTAACGTGTTTACGTTACTGATCCCACTTCTGACACCAGTGTAACGTGTTTTCGTTACTGAAGACGCCGTAGAGATCGTTAACTGGTTTATTCAACAATCTACAACTATCGGCTACAATTACTTATCTCACAGTTGCGGGGTTTCACACTTTATAACCCTAATCGCATTAATCTGTTAACACTGTTGCGGGGTTTCACACTTTATAACCCTATGCGCAAATCAGTTCACTCTGTCTTCAGTAGTCTACACGTTTACCGTAGGGGAGCTTTGTATCACTGTATCACACGCTCCCAATTACACAGTCGCACTCACGTCCGGATCTTCTTTCCGCGACGGCTGCTATACTCCAACTTGTAGTCGGCTGGCTGTTACTTTATAACTCGGCGGCTGTCACCGTACAACTGTATTAGGCGGCTGCTACAGTAGAACTCGCTGGTAGCCACCATAGAACTCACTTATATAGCCGCAGGATTGCCTGTTACGTTCCACGTCACAGTAGGAAGCAGTTCCGCGTCACCGCGTGACGTCACCACATGACGTCACCGCGGAGGGGAGTGGCGGGGCGGGCTTCGTTACCGTGCTAGGAGGGGGAGGGGAGCGCTGACTCACCCGCCGCGTCACTGCTGGTGTGTGGGGGGGGCTTGGCTTGGCGCAACATGTCACAATAGTCTTTCCTGGCTTGAAATAGGAGGTACTTGGTTCAGTTTTTGGATGAGTACCCACTCTCTTGACTAAGGATTTTGTGATTTTCTGCAGTGTCTTCTTGTAAATGTTGTGATAGTACCTTCAATAGGCCATGGCCACCCTCTTCCAAATCCCTATGTATCCACAGCTCATTATTGTCTTCCAGTTTCAGTCAGTGTTGTATAAACTCTTCAGTTAGAAGAACATTGTTAAATAAAAAGAGTCATTTAATGTGTAGCTGTGGTGTCAATATGGGAAATGCAAACAGAATGTTTGTTCTCGAATCGATATGAAATGTTGTAACTTCTGTGTGATATTCTGATACTGGTAAATATGGTAAGTTGCTGATAGGGATTGCAGTGTTTCGTATGGTCCTTAGATGGAATTTTGTGCTGAATTTTAACAGTTTGACTAAACTAACTCCATGGAGTAGAGTCCTGGAGAACCTAATAGTTACTTAGCTAGTTGAGGGTTCAGTACCTTGCTCACAAGAGCCAGCCACTATACCTATTTTTAGCGGCCTCCGTAGTCTAGGGGTAACGTTCCCACCTCATGACTTAAGGTACGCGGGGTCAAACCCGGCGGAGGTCGTGGAATTTTTAAGGGCGGAAAAATTCAGGGAACAAGTCCTCCGGGAGGGACTTTAAGCTGTGGGACCTGTGTCGTAGATTTACAGCATGTAAAAGAACCTCGTGTCTCTAGGATATCTCTGAGCTAAATTTGGCCAAAAAGTTTCCTGCCCAAAGTAGTTTCCAATGCCTCTGGTAGATGGGGGAAGTATTAGGTACCACTGCCAAAGGAGGGGGGACCTCTCTGACAGAAAGGGACTAACTATTAGATACCACTGCAAGTAGAAGGTTGGAACCTCGCTGGCAGAAAGGGGCTGATAGTAAGCACCAGTACTGGTAGGGTATGGAGACAGTAGAAATTAAAAGGGGGACGCACAATGGACGAATAACTGGTCTAAGTGCATGGGGAAGCCCACCCCCTCAATACTGAATACTGAATACCTATTTTTAGCCAAATGAATTCAGTCCAGAGCCTCCCATCCTACCTCATTAAAATCCATTATAATATTATCCTCTTTCATTGAATTTTGCTAGTTTTGTATTGAGTACTTATAAATGTTTATGTATTTGTTGGTGCTTGCATTACATTGTACAGTATATTCTGATTGTTGCCTACCGTTTGAACTGAGCCCCAGCGTTTAAAGACAAGTTTATAGCATTATAGTACAGTAATTGTATTCGACAGTGTTTACTAATGTAAATTCATTTTTGCCTGTGTTACACATAAAAGATTAAAACATATTGTTTTAAGAAAATTTCACATCTTGTGAAATTCTTGCATTATCATAATCATATGATGAACAGTCAGTACTCACACTTTGCACATTGTGTGCTGTTGTCTTTTTTTTTTTATTGTGTTGCTTGTTTAGTTGCAGCATTTAATCGTACATGTGTGGCAGATTGTGTATTACATGTATGTAATGTAAACAGTAGAAACCATTACACCACTGGAGGAAAATGCTAGATCTCACGGAGTGTGACCAGTTGGTGTCCGGCCTGGCTGCACTTAGGACAGAGCTCCCCTGCCAGGCATAAATTGTTTGTCATTCATTTAAAAGCATGCCTCACTCACAGGAGGTTGGAGAAAGCTGCAAAATGAGGAGCTTCATAACTTGTACTCTTCTCCAAGTATATTTAGAATGATCAAGTCAAAGAGGATGAGGTGGGCAGGGCATGTAGCACGAATGTGGGAGATGAAGCATGCATATAGGATATTGGTGGGAAAGCCAGAAGGAAAGAGACCACTGGGAATACCAAGGTGTAGGTGGGTAGACAATGTTAAAATGTATCTTGGAGAGAGATGATGGTATCGTATGGATTGGATTGATCTGGCTCAGGATAGGGACCAGTGGAGGGCTCTTGTGAACATGGTAATGAACCTTCAGGTTCCATAAAATGCTGGGAAATTCTTGAGGAGCTACAGATTTGGCTTCTCCTCAAGAAGGACTCAGCTCCATAAGTAAGTAAGCATGCCTCACTCAGAAGTAACGCCTTGTGAAGTGTGCCTTTTATGATCTGCATTTTATAAAAAGGTGAAGTTTTCAGAGACCCGAATATGTGTGTCAAGTTCTGCTCCAAACTAAACATAACCGCTACAGCAACCTGTTAAAGCATGCTTTCAGAAATAAAACGATGGGCAGAACTCAGATGTTTGATTGGTTTTCCAGTTTGGGAGCAGTGGAGTGTCAGGAGGTAGTGATGTTGAGAAATCAGTATATCCATGCGTGAGAAAAACGGGAAAGTGTGATGTGAATCAAGAAACCCATTTATGAAAATGGCTGTGTCTCTATGCATGACTTTGTCCTTCTACTTACTGACACGCAAAAGCAGAATTGTATCAGTGCATGTTAGGACCTTTAGGAAGGACTTAAAAGAGAGATTCAGTTCCCCACATGACTTTTTCCTTTTTCTGAAATTGTAGCTAGTGCTGAGTGGGGAGGGAGTCTGATTACATTTTCATGATTTAAGAACAATTTTTGGCTGGACTTGCTGAGATCTGAACAGTGGATTTCTGGAAATACTTCCAATAATGGTCAGTCACTGAACTCACTGCAGCAAGTTGTAAGGGAACTACTTTGAAGAGGACAGCATAAAATAGAGAGTAGATGTAATTATTGCCCCCCCACCCCCAGAGGTAAACTGGGAATTATTTGTTCACACCACATTCTGTATTCTTTGTAGTTGTCTGTTATTATTTGACTATGTGAAGAATTTAGTTTATCTGTTACTGAATTTGTTGTTTGCTGTTATGTCTTTAGGTATGTTTGAATCGTCATGTGAAGCAGTCCCATGTTGATCGAACCATCTTCAGATCAGTGTCATATAAGTGCAAGATGTGTCTTCTTACTTTCCCAAGTATAGCGCTAATGAGAGACCACTTCCGAGACTCACATCCCACTGCCTTGGTTTTCCATTGCCTGCATTGCAACACCACGCTTAAGACCAAGAAGACTCTTAAAACACATATTAAGGTAGGGCAGTTATAGAGTTAAGAATGTGTGTTCTTTGTTTACTTACAGCAGAAAGTTGTTTGTATTGAAGTTGCATAACCCATTTCTCAGGCTCTGATAACAAATAACAAAAACAAACTCTGTGATTTTAGCCCTCAAGCGAACTATACCGACTGCTGCTTGTCGGCGAAGTTTAGTGCCAACTTTTGCGGATAGAGGGTGTCGCATGGTCAGCGCAACGAATCCCCACAGCTGTTAATTTCGGTTTTCTAGACTGGAGCCACTATTTCCTTGAAATAGCTCCTCAATTATCAGGAGGCTGAGTGGACCCCATTCCAGACCCACTACTTCTCTGAAAAAATCTGGTAGCCCTGTGAATCAAACCCGGACCTCTGGATCTGTAGCCAGGAACGCGGATCGCTAGACCACAGCGGCGATTGATAACAAATAACTGTGTGCATATATTTTACATTTTGCAGCATTGTTCCCTTAGACATGTACTCTTCATATCCACCAATGTGAGTACCTCTGACCCTATATATTTACATCTTGTTCCCCATCAGAATATTCCAGTACGGGAATGTAATATGAATCAGAATAGTTAATCAGTACAGTGACAGGCTGTAAGCTGGGCAACCAAGATTCAGTTATTGGCAGAAGTAGGAATTTTTTCTTCCATACCAATTCTGTGTGCACCTAGTTTCCCAGCTAGGGTACCAGTGCTCATTTATCATCATCATCATCATCATCATCATCATCATCATCAGCGAAACAACCCTTTCTCAGCTGTAGCCTTCCTTAGAAGATTCTGCCAGAATTGCCTATAGAATCTTGAATTAGACTGTCTAGTTTTCACTTTGGATGTTACAACAGTAGTTCTTTGCAGAGCAAGGTTGTCAGCCTTGTGTTCAACCCCCAACCTCGAGGACCAGGTCTTTGTGTTTATGTCCTCCAGTGACAGGGTGGCCCAGTTATGCCCTAGGCACTGGGTTCCCTTTCATTTTCTCTTCTACAGCTCACAGGGCAGGGCAGGTGGAGGTATTCCAACTCACCTCCACATGTGACATCTGTGCTTATTCTTTAGTGGTAAAATGGCTAAAGCTTGAAGCTGACTGCCCATTTCCTTCTGGAACTGAGGTTGAGAATTTATGGAGCTATACCTTCACTTCTCCATATGTCATCATGTTGCTTAATTAGGTACGAGGATAGCTTACCTTTATCAAAATCCTGGAAGTGTAATATTTCCATAATTATAATAATTTTAGATTAGTTCTTGTAATAGATTTGTACGATGGGGTACCCAAAAGAAACCGAACTAATTTTTTTGTGGGCAGAGCTTTTGTAGTACCGTGTTTTGCAGCTATGAGCGCATAGAGTTAACATTCCTGAGTCGATAAGCCAACTACCGTTGCTTCAGAAGGTAAGGACTAGTTTCGGCAGAGTTTATAGTGACAACTGTTTTGTGTGATCGTCATTTTTGCAATGACTGATTTTCGTGAACAGCGTGCGGCGGTGAAATTCTGCTTTTTACTCGGGAAAGGTGGAACAGAAACTCTTGAAATGTTAAAAACGGCGTACAAGGACGATGCTATGGGGAAAACTCAAGTGTTTGAGTGGTTTTCCCGTTTCAAAAATGGTGAAATGTCAATTGATGACAAACCTCGTTCTTGTCATCCTTTCACGGCCCGAACACATGAAAATGTTGAAAAAATTAGTGAAATCATCAAGGAAGATTGACGACGGACCATTGAAGAAATTGTGGAGCTGTTGGGAGTGACTTGGAGCTCAGTTCAGCGAATTTTGACAGAAGATTTGGGAATGAAAAGGGTGGCTGCGAAATTCGTGCCATGACTGCTTACTGCTGAACAAAACAAGGTCGTGTGGAAGCATGCTGTGCTTTGAAAGAAGAGTCCCGAGTCCTCGAATGAAAAGAGACATGAAAGGAAAGCATTTTGCTGGTGTTGCTGAGGTGAAAGAAAAAACGACGGAGGCGCTGTCAAGCATCTCATGAAAAATGGAATAAAAGACTAGACAAGTGTATTAGTGTAAGTGGAGAGTACTTTGAAGGGGATTGAAGGTTTGTGCTTAAAATTTGAATAAATAAGTTAAAAAAAAAGTTCGGTTTCTTTTGGGTACCCCCTCGTATATATGAGTTTGATGGTATATTGAAACATTATGCTTGGGTGTAGAAGAGCTGTTATCTTTATCATAGTGTAAGTATGGCATGTACAGCAGGTTCATTAAACAAAAAATGAAGTTTCCTACTGTACACACACATTCTGTTCTACAGTAGTACCTTGTTACCTGTGTATGGTATAACATCTTATTTCAGTGGTCCAGCAAATGTGGAAACAGCTGTGTCATTTAGACATTACAGTCTCCTGGAACATAGCACTGTGTAGTTCAGTAGATAAGCACCAACATTTCAGAGAAACCTGTTACCTTCATCTTCCCTGAGAAAGCAGAAGTTTCACCTGAAACACTGTTACCTCTCTTCCAAAGTACACAGAATTTCATCTTACAAGACTTTAATATTCATACAATTATTGTGTTTTTAGGCATTATCCATCATCCTGTTTTTTATTTAAAATGTTTCGAAGGCTCGATTCTGTCTCTGTCTGCAGGTAAAAACCTACTCGGTTTGGCCCAAGTGATAGAGCTAGTCCCGGAGACAGGGACAGAGACAGAACGTTTTAAATAAAAATAAGGAGGATGGATAATGCCCCAAAACATACTAATTGTATTAATATACCATTGTCACGAACTTTCAGATTATAATATTCGTATTTATCACTATGAGAATATTTTTCAGAACTGTACAGTTCCACTAACTTAATTGATGTCTTATATGATGATGGTCCATTCTGCTGTGAGTGTTATATAAGCTTCAGTTTCATTGTCAGTGTGAGAATTGAAGAGATTAACTTGCAAAAAAAACTTGTTCTCTATCTTTCCTTTGAATGTCAAACAGTCTTTATACTCTGAGACGAAAATAAGCACAGATCTTTGAGAACAATTTGTGGAGGAAAATGTTTTGACCTAACGAAAGATGAAGTTGTTGGAAATGGAAGAAATTATATAGCACTGACCTTTGTTGTTATGGTATTCAAATGAAGGAGATTGTGATGGGTTTAGTGCACAGGTAACTCAGACAAGGAAAATGAAAATCGTTTAATGTTCTGGTGCAGAAATACATTGGAAAAAAACTAATACAAGGGAGCTAAATGAAAATGAGGAGGATAGCATCCACACATTCCCTGTCAGTCCCATCACTTGACAGCTTGAAGTTAACTGTCTGCCAGTATCAATCCCATCAAGTGACTGGCTGTTACTGCTGTGTGTAAATGCCATTTTCTTCTTCAGATGTTGCTGAGATGCAATGAAACTTCCAAGTGTAGCTTGTTGAAGGTGGAAGGAGTCAAAACATAGAGAAATTATAAATTGTTTTTTACTTGTTGTTGTTCAGTTCTGTTTTAAAACTAGCAAGCTTGAAATATAGTCATTACAGAAAAATTTCTGGCCCGTCAGGGAGATTCCTGTATGGGGACATGGCTATAAATGTGCTAAGATGAAACACATAGGCATAGATTGTGAGGACAATAACTGGATAGGGTACAAAATGGGCACTCTTATTAATAGTGTCAGAGATTTGGATTCTGTTTATCAGGGAGTTCATTATATTCCTTTAAACATAGAATTTCTTTAATTACCTGGTTTTAGGATTTGATGCTGGAGCTATGTGGTAGTGTAGTTGGTTGAGGCACTATGCTACAAGCCAGAAGGTCACAGGTTCGATTCCCAATGATGTCATTGGATTTTTCATTTGATCTAATCCTTCCAGCCACACTATGGCCCTGGGGTTGACTCACCATCTAACAGAAATGAGTACCAGGGATATTCCTGGGGGTAAAGGGCAGCCAGGGCGTATGGCGGACGTCCTCACCATCATTTGTTAGTTGATTGTCTAGAAAATGTAGGAGCCTCAATGTCTTACAACCCTGTGGGCCTCCCTGGCCTGTTACAGGGATAGCTTTACATTTTTTATTACGTGTGTGTGGCTTGAAAGTGGCTGTATCTGTGTTTGGTAGTACTTGTTGCAAGATGTATACTTTTTTTTTATTACAGAATGTGCACTCAGAAGCCCGCCGGCGAGACTGTACTCTTTGTGGGAAAGTATTGTGGAGTAAACGCGCACATGCCATCCACTTTCGCATGAAGCACAGTGCAGCATCCAAAGTTGGCTTCCGCTGCCGCATCTGTCAAAAGAGATTTGACTCTAAGGATGAGAGGTACGGTAAATATACTTTTAATTTTATAGGGCAGCTTAAGAGGTTCAAGATTGAGGATCGAAGACTTTGCTTAGTGAGGAACTTCATAAATTGTACTTTTCAGTTAATATTAATTAAATAAAGGGTTGGGAATTGACAGGACTTGTAGTAAACATGCGGGAAATGAAGAATGAATAAAGAAATTTGTTCAGATAACCCTGAGGGAGAAGATGACTTCAAAGACCTAAGAATATACTAAGGTAATATGGAGATAAATCTAGAAAAATAGTGCATGAGAACATGGACTAATTTAAACTGTCTGTGGATGAGAACCATTGACCAAACAAGTTGGCCGAAGCAGTAGTGCTCTGACTTGCGTTCTGGTAGTGCCTGGTTTATATATTGACCAGGAGCCAACTGTCCTGGCCAGCAATTCTCTGTTTTTTCAAAATCCTCCAGGAAAATGATGGGGTCTCTTAAAAGTAGGTCATTACTGCTTTGTTCAAGATCTTTGCTAATTAATTATTCACTCATCCAGTCTCTTGATGCTTCATAGTCTGAATTATGGATGGTGCCATTAAGTAAATTACAAAACAAACAAAAACAGTGATCCAGTTTCTCTATTTTTGAATTGTGTTCTGTAGCAACAGAGAACTTCTTTGCCTCTGTAATTGTCATCTTATGTAGGAAGATGCTGTAGTGTGTAGTTGGGTTAAGGAGTGTAATGATGCTCCTTGTAGCAAAAAACAACACATTGTATGAATACTGATGAAAATTGTTTAAACAGTGAGAAGTTTGAAGAATGCCATCTTCTGGGCTGTGGTGCCATATAGATATTGTGTAAACCGACATTTTGGAAGAACGTATCACGATACACAATATCTACATGGTGCCACATCCCAGAAGATGGCATTCATCATAGTCACTGCCATGAAAACCTCAAAACTTACATAGTGAGAAGTTTAATCAGGGACACTCTAATAAGCATTGAGTTTCTGTGGAAGAGTCTGATTTTAACGCCATCAGAGGGATTGATTTTGAACTTGAAACCTTCATTCCAGCAGTCAACATAATGTAGATATTTTAAAAAGATGTCTTAAAATTTATCATCATTCTATTTCTAGTGGAAATAATTCATGAATTTTGTCATATAATTGAAAAGAAAATATACTTCTCACACATCCATCATGTTTGAGGAAGTAAATGTGTCTGATGTTTGGTACAGTAAGAACCTGTGACAGTGAAGTGTTTTTGTTATGTTTTTGAAAGATGATCTGTGAGTAGTAGTTACACAAGGTCTCGACATTTATTGTGAATCTGTACACGGTGCCAGTGCATCTGATTGATGATAGATGATAGACTCAAAGACAGTGACTGTTCTGGATGATAGGAATGATGGCACACGTATATTTATTATTGTTATTAATGTGTTTGGAATTAATGATTTTTCCCGTTACTTATACATTAATTAACAAGCTTGGAAGTTGGCTCGAATGGTAATGCTTCTGAGTTGCCTGGTTTGAATCCAAACCAGGACACATACCATTCTGACTGAATTTTTCATGGTTTTCCTCAGTCCATCCAGGCCAGTACCAAGGTAGTACCTTAAAGTTAGGCCATGAGAGCTACCTTTCCCATCCTTCCCAATTCATTATTTGCTATTGTCCGGTCATTTGACTCAGTTTTTTTGTTACTTACAGCATTGTTAAATAAACTATGAGTAAATGAAATAAATAAAATTGCATATTTTTCTGTCATTTATCCTCATTGGAATTTTTTCAGTCCATTGTATGTTACATTAACGAACTTATATACATATATATTTATACTTTATTATTTATTTATACTTATATATTTAATGTTCTCACACTGGTGACTATGAAGCTTACTGTCTTCCAGGATGTGAGACATATAGTCTGTTAGAATTATACTGGTACTTCTGGGGAGTGTTGTTAAACTTACGTGGGTGCACAACAGCACCTCCCAGAAGACAGTACTCTTCACTGTACACTATATTACTTAACTAAACTAAACTAAACTCAACTGTTGGATTTACAGGAAGCTGCATTATCAAGTAGACCATGAAGGGGAGAGTCCATATCATTGTGCAGAATGTGGGAAGGGATTTGCTTCAAAGTCTGGAATGTATGGTCATCGTCAACTACATACAGGATCAGGGGTGTCCAGGTGTCAGTATTGTGGCAAGGAGTTCACGGTGAGGTTCAGTGTGCTCCTTCAATATGCCGTGGAACCCCTGTTCAAAGTTCCTTGATTCCTAGTTTTCCCACATTTAATGTTCAATTTCAGTGATCCCAAATCAATAACTTCTGTCTTAAATTACATCCATTTAAGATTATCCTTGGTTTGATGTTCAGATTCACTGCTTTAAAGAAAGGTAACCTTAAATGGGGGGTAGGGGTTGTTGTAGTATTTTACGTGATTGGGTCTAAAGTTTGTGAACTTCTTTCTGTGCTAACTTATATGGGGTTATGGTGGGCTGTATTCCATCGTGCCTTTGAAATAGTTCCTTTCTTCTACATACATTCCTGCCAGCAACTGTTCCAGTACTTTAAGCAGCCCTGCAGGCCTTTCCCTAAACATTGCTGTTGTGATAAGACTGTCTTTTCAGAATGAGGTTTGATGTTTTAGTTGTGGGTAGAAAAGGTAAACTCATTATAACCTAGTTCAGAATGACTGGATCACTATGGACTGTGAAAATCATGTCTCCACTATGAAGGGATTAGTTTTGGTATAGATCCCCTGTAAGATTTAATGGAACAAAGTGCTCTCACACATGATACATGCTAACATTTTCACTCCTCTGTCCAAGGCTGGTTGGTTGTTGGTTCTTTGTCCTGGCTATCATATATGAACAAGGTTTGGTAGTGACACTATGTCAAGATAAAATATTTCTCTTTCAGAATGCACTCTGTGATCATAATACTTTCTTTTATCAATACATGGTGCATAAGCTATCTTTTGTGATTCCTTGGATGTATGTAAATTGTTTGATATTCATTTGTGTACAGTGAAATATTTTATACTGTAGTGTACTGCTAAAAATGGCCGGATTGTGAGGTAAGCTAGGAGCAGAGTTATTGTAAATGAAAAAGTTAAAGTAATTTTACAATACGTCATGGCACATGCCATGCGACACATTGTCAATACTCATTTGTCTGCTGTTTCTTAATTATAAGTTATTCATAGCTTTCCCTTCTGTACGTCACCCTCCAGTGACTGTCGGCCATCCTTGTTATGCTTAAATCATTTGCACACTGCAGCCTGACCATGACATTATCCGTGTATACTTTCCTCATCATGTCATAAATTTGTGATTAAGTCCTCTTTAGTCATGTGCAGAACTTAATGTTCACTTGCTCTTCAAATTGTGTTATCCTATTCTGCTGAGCTCTCAAAATAACATTTGCTGTACAAAACAGTGTGTGGAGCCTTTCGCGCTTCCTAAATACTCTCTTGTATGCATTTAAGCATCCTGTTGCATTACTGTATTCAACCTTGTTCACATACAGTTTTCCATCAATAATGTAACTATTTATTTCTTCATTCACATTTGCTTTCGCTATTAACACAACATGTTTTGGCCCCAAACGGCTATTCTCAGGTGTCCCATTATGCCAAACCTGATACAGTGAACTGAGCATTGTCTATTCCACATGCACATAAATTAACATTTCATAATTAAAATGTTACAATTGCTATTTTGAATTGTTTCATTTTGGTCCGTTACACTATCAATCACAAAGTTACTAGAAAGTCCGTCGAGTGTAACAATTTGTAGGTCACTTTTTATTATTATTTCTGCCTTACATGTTTCGGTTTGACACAACCATCATCAGAGGCACTTGCTATAATTATGGAAACACTGTTGCTGTTTTTGATGTTCACAATTATGTTTGTTGTGTAGACGTTGTTACGATATGTTGACGTGTAAAAGCACAAAACATGCTAAGATAGTTGAGTACACTCTCAAGTTCTCACTTTTCATCCGAACCTATTTTAAGTTAAAACGCTAAAATGTTAAAATATTTGATATAAAATGCTGAACTCCTCCTTGTTAATTCATCCCGAAGATGGGAGACAGCTTGAGGTTGTATGGCTTATGGTTTGATATGTTCCTGTGTGCTGTGTGCTGTGTACTGCAGTACACAGAATTCGGGATGAATTAACAAGGAGGAGTTCAGCATTTTATATCAAATATTTTAACATTTTAGCGTTTTAACTTAAAATAGGTTCGGATGAAAAGTGAGAACTTGAGAGTGTACTCAACTATCTTAGCATGTTTTGTGCTTTTACACGTCAACATATCGTAACAACGTCTACACGACAAACATAATTGTGAACATCAAAAACAGCGACAGTGTTTCCATAATTATAGCAAGTGCCTCTGATGATGGTTGTGTCAAACCGAAACATGTAAGGCAGAAATAATAATAAAAAAGTGACCTACAAATTGTTACACTCGACGGACTTTCTATTAACTTTGTGTTACAATTGCACTCAGCTGTTGTGTGTTTAGTATCTTACACGTTATAGTTCACTCCATTTAAAATCAATTAAAATTGTTAAAATTTGTAATTATATAAAACTCCTAATTCCACCTCATAAGGGGCTTAGGCAAATGCATGACACCCCCTTATGAGGTGGAATTAGGAGTTATATATAATTAACTAATATTCAGGTTATTTAAGTAATGATAAAATTACTTTTTGTTGTAGCGTAAGGACAGTTATAATGAACATCTTTTGATTCACAATGGACCAAGACACAAATGTCCACACTGTCCAAAGGAGTTTGTCCAGAGGTCCAACTTGGTCAGACACATTCGCATTCATACTGGTAAGTGATGAAGTTCTCTTCCAGGTTCATTTGTTTTAATGGTCTATATGATTTTTCAACCTATTTCTGAGGTATTTGCAGCTGTTAATTGTTATAAAGTTCTGGGACATGACATATTTTCTCATTCACTCTTCATATATGCTTTAATCATAGTAGTTACATCATGCTCTAGTAAAACCAAATTTTGACATTAGGGCAAGTTCTTGTCATGAGGAGGTTTATTTTCACTAATCTGCAGTGTAATGAAATACAGCAGACCCTCAGTATACCATTCCTTGTACCGTAGATTCGGATATACCGTGGCAGTGATCATGTCCCCCAGTGCCATTACATACCGTAACTGTCAGTTAACATAGGTACAGAAGCTGTCACCTGAAACCCATGTTTTATCGATGGTCCATTGTATTGTGTATGAGCATCATGTTGCTATATACAATCACTCACTGCCTTTTTACCATCTTTCTGTAGCTTTAGACTATAACACACAATGGAATTTTAGGCAGCATTCATCAGGGAGAGAAGTGTATGGGAATATGATAGTCATTTCTTCTTCAGGTAGATGTGTTTTTAGTTTCATTGATTGTTGCAGCATTTGTCAGAAATATCTTCAGTATTGCAGCCTTCCTGAGTAATTTAGCTCTTCTCTTCAAGTTGGTTGTCATTACATTGTGTCAATTATTTGCTTACACAGGGGAGAAGCCATACAAGTGCCTGTACTGTGAGAAGTGTTTCTCTGATAAGGGAGCATGCAACTCTCATATTCGTGTGCACACTCGTGAGGAGACATGCAGCTGTCCATACTGTGGGCAGACTTTCTCCAAGAAGCAGGTATGTTTATTTCAGTGGTTTTCAGTTGGGAACCAAAAGATTGTTTATTTATTCCTCAAGGGTACTGTAAGAAGTTTCACATCAATAGAAGTATACATAAATCAGATGAAATCTGTATACTGTATGTAGCCAAACTACTGATTAATGAATGGTTGTATGTGTTACATAGGCATATGATGAAAGTAAAAGTGTGTGAAGTTGTGGACTGGATTCATCTTGTTCGAGATAGGGTCCAGTTGCAGGCTTTTGAGAACAGAGTAATGAACCTTTGTGTTGTGTAAAAGGTTGGAAATATCTTGACTAGCTGAGCAATTATTAGTCAAAAAACCCAGTAATTCTATGTGTCATCCACCATCATCAGAACCCTCTAGAATTAACTGTTAGTTTCTCAGAAAGAACTCTGCCCAATTGAATTATGTGTACAAAGTTTTTAGACCTGGTTTCTAGTTTACACACAAAGGAAACTGTGGTAAGAAGCATTAGAGCTGTGTTGTGGGACGGAGGGAGTGTAAAATACTGTAACTAAGACCCTACTATAACCCACACACACGCTACAGTCCTTACTTTACTTACTGGACTCAACAAAATGCACTGCACATTCTGTTGAGAATGGCCAGATCTGAAAGCACACACAGTACAGATACAATGCATATGCATGGATATTTCTGCATTTATTTGTGTGCGGGCATGCACGCATATTCACATATCTGTTTTTAAATTTGAACATTGGATTCTATGTAGTAAAGTGGTGGTAGTGATAAAACCAGCAGTATCTGTCTTGTGGTAGAATTGGAGCTTCAGCACCATGCCTTTGGTCACAGTATTGAGCCAGTTGCAACCACTCCCACATGTTTCCCTAAAATCCCTACAAATATCCTTCCATTTGTCTCTTGATTGTGTAAGTAATTGAAGTCTGTGATGCTTCCCATCAAAATTCTGTATGCATTCCATTAGCCATCTGGGTTACAGCTCCAGCCCATTATAACAGTGATTTCATTATCCTAATAATATTGATTGTCCTTTTTACATTCTTTTTATTGCTAGTGGGGTGGGACTAAATCCCTTGTACTGCGGCCACTTCTGGCTTATTCTACCAGCCCCAGATGATAGGCGAGGGTGATTGTGGAGCAATTGGTGGAATGAAGATTGGCAAGGGAAACCGATGTACTCAGAGAAAACCTGCCCCAGTGCTACTTTGTCAACCACAAATCCCACTTGACCAGACCCAGGATTGAACCCGGGCCACTGCAGTGGGAAGCCAGTGACTAACCACTTGAGCTATGGCGTGGCCGCTCTTTTTAAATTACACATTTTATGAAATCTTAAATTGTTCACCTATTTAATCTTGTGAACATGGTAATGAACCTTCGGGTTCCATAACATGCTGGGAAATTCTTGAGTAGCTGCAGAATTGGCGGCTCCTCCAGAAGGGCTCAGCTCCATGAGTAGGTAAATAAGTAAATTTAATCACCCTTAGATTCAAGTATTTTCATGAGAACATTATTTCCCAAACTTATAATTTATGCTCTACTGTCAAAACAATAATGACAGTAATTGTAGCAGTGATCATGAAAAACGTTCTGTGGATAATTAAAATGTAGTTCTAGTGTATTATTTATGATTTGACATAATGTTTTACAGTTTCATCCTTTTTATGTTTTCAGAAATTGAAGTACCACATTCGGAAACATACAGGTGAAGGACTCATCAACTGTGAGATATGCAGCAAGGTGACTGTTATTTTGTATTGTACTAGCATAAAACCTATGGGAAGTCTCACCACTTGATATAGAAGCTTTTGTACTGTTAACTTCTACTTTTTCCTGTATTTCTTTCCAATCCTACATATCAAATGATACTTGAGGCCAACATTTAACACCATCATCCATGAATAACATGCACAAATAGTCGATCATAAATCATCTCTTGCCCATAGAATACCACACTCTATGTATCCAAAATCAAAGTATTTCAGAATGGACATGATACAGTGAAAGGAGTTATCAGTACATGGTGTTCCCAAGTGGTCAGCCATCCATGCACTAAGCGCTGAGTGTTGCTTAACTTCCATTTCTGTTTTTTGAGCAGCATGGATGGCTACAGAGGGACCCTGTTAGTGACAGGTAGGTTGTGATGGGGATGTGACGGAAAGAAAGCAGTGAGTTGTGCCGGGGGGGGGGGTTGAAGAGGGAATGCAAATTGCCTACCCCAAGGGGACTAAGGGAATTCCCTAAGAGGCTTTGGACCAGCAATTCTCCCCCCAAAAATGTTTAGCCACTGGATATACAAGTACAGCCACTTGTCTTACTCACTTTGACCCTGAAGATGGATGCAACATGTATCTCCAAAATGTTGCCAACACTGCCCACTTCTACACATAAAAAGTCTTATTACCCAGGATAAACATTTCTTGGAACCAGTTGTCTTTTGAACTTCTCACTAGGAAAACCGTTTCAGTGGAATCATATGAAGTAATGAAGCAACTGTCTGATGCTCAATCTCGAATGGTCAGTGCCATTAATACTCGAAGTCCATCACTGGACATGATTCTGATCCAATTCAGTGCATTCCTATCTTTTACAAACTGTTTGATCCACCTTAATGTTATCCCTCCTATCTGTGTCTTCTGAGAAATTTCCCACCTAAAACTCTATTGGGCCAGTCACGGTAGCCGAGCGGTCTAAGGCATGCACTGTCTTTGCTTGCTTGGAAGCTGGGATTGTGGGTTCAAATTCCACTCAGGGCATGGATATCTGTGTGCATTTTTATGTGTTTGTGTACAGGTAGAGGCCTTGCGACAAGCTGATCACTCACCCAAGGAGTCCTACCGTATGTGTAAGATCTAGAAAAACCGAAGTGAACAGAGTTCATGGAGGTAGGCCTAGGCCCACTGAGGCTGTAGTGCCAAGGAAAAAAAAAACTCTATTAGATGTTGTAATGGTTATTGCTGTGTTTGAAGCAGGTACCATCCATAACCACTTAATCTCATGAGATTACTTCTTGGTCCACATATGACAGTAACATCACTGGTCACAGCGCTGTGGTTACTCTGAATTCTGCTCAGAATTTAAGACTGGCTGACTCACTTTACCACTAACACACTGACTCACTAAGTAACTATATCATATCTTACGCTGTAACTGCCTTCTAAAAGAAGTTATTGAAGGAAAGATAGAGGGGCGGATAGAAGTGACTAGAAGACGAGGAAGAAGACGTAAGAAGATGCTGGATGACCTTGGCGACAGAAGAGGATATTTTCATTTGAAGGAGAAAGCTGTAGATTGCATCAAGTGGAGGAACTGTTGTGGAAGAGGCTGTGGACCTGTCGTCTTGACAGATTACAGATGAATGACGAATGAAGTAACCACCCAATTCCACTCATTGCTGGGCTGAACACCACTCAGTGTTTTTGTTCCTTAACCTATTTCTGAGTCTGTCGGTGAGATGGCCATGAGATGTATCCATTACAAGCATACTCTGTGGCTTTCATAACATGCCAAGCTGAAGTTCCTGTGCACTTCCAGGCCAGTCTTCCCTTAACTTCTATTATGTGTGTGTGTTTTATCCTGAATTGCCTTCTTACTACATTCTTATTAGGTCCAAATATTTTCCTAGACACACTCTTTCCAAACATTTGTAATTTAGGTTCTTGTCTGAACATAAAGGATTTCATTTTATAGTCATTTAAAACAGCTGGAATATATTGCTTCAGTAGCTTTTATTTCTTTAAGGAAAAAGTAGGCTTATGAGACCATGATGCTGTCTATGTGTCTCGTTTTAGCTTTTCAAACTCACAAGTTTTTGTGTTGGCATTATGACATTGAATGCCAACATAGTCTCAAACTTTTCAGTTTCCAGAATGGAATATGAACGAACTTTTGAGGTGGGAGTGACACCACTGTCCGTAATATGGGATCCTGGAATTGTTCATGGTGATGGGTCTTTGAAAGCTTCAGCTTTTGCTAAGAATTTTTTTTTATGTGTAAAATATGGAGCAACATATCAGGAACATAATACTTTTATTTAGCTTTTGGTATGACAGTGATGACTGTGGATTGTTGGATCTGGGATTATGACATTTTGTATGAAGCTAAATTATAAACATTCCTACAGTTAATTACAAAATATTGTGTGTAAATCATCAGTTACAAACATGGTAACAGTGTGAAAAATTTTGTGGCAAATTTTACATAAACAACACTTAAATAATAAGTTTTTTTCAGGAATAAAGTACAATTACAATTGCCACAGCCACTACCACTGTTACTAATAAGGGTGCCTGTTTTACTTCAGTTGTGTGGTGTTATTAATAACTGCAGGCTTGTTTGAATTGTTTATATGATGGATATTTGGAAAGTAACCTCCATTTAGTAGGCAACTAATGTAAGAGTGGGGGAGAGCTTGTGCATGTGTGGTAGTGTCACATGACTCATTACCTTGTAAACCATCACATATCTGGTCACCTAGTGTTTGTTCTTGTCTCTGCAGAGTGAGGTATGATGTGTCCTGTGACTGCTAATCCCACCAGCTGTGAAATTCGCACTGTTATCCACTTTCTTCATTCTAAAAACATGAATGTTATGGAAATTAATCATGAATTATGTGTGGTTTACAGCCAAAATGTAATGAGTGAAGGAACTGTAAGAGAATGGTGTAGAATGTTTGAAGATGGGTGAACAGATGTTCATGATGAAGAACAAAGTGGTCAGCCATCTGCAGCGTGCGATAATATTGTTCAGAGTGTACCAAAAAATTTGCGAGAGACAGCGCCTCACAATTTCAGAATTTCATGTGAATTTCCACAAATTTCATGCACTGTTTATGTGAGATGTTCAGAGTTAGGCTAGGGTATCACAAGTTTTGCTCAAGATGGGTTCCAAAAATTCTGATTAGTGTGCACAAAACGCAGAGAATAGATTTGGCTTTGCCTTTTTTAGAGCGATACCACAAAGATGGCGATGAAATGCTCAATTGCATCGTGCAAGTAACAGGTGGTGAAGCTTGGGTTTCATTTGTCAATGTTGAAACCAAGGGGCAGTCAAAGCAATGGATGCATACCATTTACCAAACAAGTCGTAAAAGTTTAAACAAACATTTGCCAGAAAGCTGATGGCAGCTGTTTTCTGAGACAGGAAAAGAGTGGTGATGGTAGAATTTATGCAACAAGGGACCACAATAACATCAAAAGTGTTTTGTGAAACACTAAAAAGACTGCATAGGACCAAGAAGAAAAGGCATGAAATGCTAACATCCAGTGTAGTGCCTCTTCATGACGATGTATGTTCACGTACAGCTGCTTGCACTTGAGCTTTGCTGGATCATTTCAACTAGAAGTTGTTTGACCATCCTCCTTACATCCCTGATCTCACTCCAAGTGGCTGCCACCTACTTTCCTATCTGAAGAACTGGTTGGAATCGCAGCGCTTCAACCATAAAGAGGAGTTCATAGAAGGTGTCAAAATGTGACTGAGCTCACAGGCGGCAGTAGACTCCTTTGACACAGGCATATAAAAACTTGTTGCCCGATATTGCAAGTGACTCAGTGCTGGTGGTGACTACATTGAGAAATAGCTGAAGTGTGTATGTATCTTTTTATATAATCAAATTTTTTTTCACATTGATTGTTTTGCTAACAGCTCATCGAAGATTACTTTCTGAGTAGCCCTCTTAGAAAGTTACATTGTGCTATGGACAATTAATGAATTAGTAATCACAGAAATATTGAATGTTTGTGTTGCAGTCATTCACAAACAGCTTTGCCCTAAAGGAGCATCGTGTCATCCATAATCGTCAGACACAGATCCTCTGTCAACAGTGTGGCAAGGGCTTCAATAGTGAGAAGTATCTTCAGCGACATGTTGCCATTGTCCATGAACCATCTCACACTTTCACCTGCCCCATGTAAGTGAAGATACATGTATCCTGCAGATATTAGTTTAATGAAAACCCCATTTAATATTCTTCAGTTTAAGGTTTTCCCTCATTTAATTTTTAGTTTCAGTGATCACAGACTCTCAGTCTTAAATTTCCCCAATTTAAAATATTCCTCCATACAGAGTTCATACCCACTGTTCCCCAAAGCAAACTTACATGATGGTTTCACTGTATTTTTAGATTTTCTTTAATTGTTCATTGTGGAATATTTTAAATGAAAGGATGACAACCACAATGAAGAACATTAAGAAGTTAATTAATTTTAATTCAGGGTTGATATATTGTAATTAGAAAATATCATGTTCATATGTGATACATAATTTTGACATATGGGGCAATAATTTTAGCAAGATAGACAACACCTGATGATGGCCATAATGTGTGGTCGAAGCATGTAGTAAGGAAGAAGGGTGTAAGTTGCATCTTATCCAGTGGGTACTGTGCTCATTCTCCTGGGGGCAAAATGACTGGGGCGTGAAGCTGTTCACTCTTCCCCTCTAGTGCCGAGTTTAAGAATGTGTGGAATTTTACCTCCACTCTCACCTGCATCTACATGGCATCATGCTAAATTAGTGCAAGGAAAATCTCACTTTGACTTTGTGATTTAATACCAGTGAATCTGTCAATGCACCCGTACTCTGTTAAGTATTGTTATCACTTATTTATGAAGTTAATGGAATTCAAGTCTAGGTTGACCTTTGGCTCCATGGACTTAGGTATTCTCCTTCTGGTTGGCTGTGCTAGGGTAGTATGTTGCTGGCTGATTGATCTTTCTATAATATAATCTCCGGTTCAATTTTCCAGAGACTGTATTCTTCATTTTTTTATTTCACAGAGTTTCTTGTTAATTTTGATATTTCTGTGTGGACAGTGTCTGATGTTACAGGTTCAGATGCTTATGTATTATAAATGTTTTCGTGTTAACACATTCACTCCCAAGGATAAGCTTGGTCGTTACAGATGTCATGTTCAAACTATAATAGATGGGTCTGGGTAAATTAAGCCTGCACATTCACAAAGTCGGCAGTTTTTCTTTGCACAAACATCTTGAGCAGGTAACTTTCTTCTCTGTCTCTAAATGCTAACAGGTATACATAGATGAATTTTGCAGTGTAGATTTTTTGCTACATGTTTTGTACTGTGAAATACTCCAGACTCTTAGTGTACTGCTAAATAAATGGCTGGCTGGAAGATAAGCCAGCAGCAGAGATGCTGGTGAAGAAAGTGTTAAATTTATTTTAATTTTTACTGAGGGAAATTGGTTTCAGTTTGTTAAAATTGAAGTCTTCCAGAAACTGGATTTTTAGTAACAAAATAAATTATAAGATGTTTATATTGACAACTAATCTAAAAGTGTAGTATATATCATAAAATACATCGTGTTTTTATTTGATATGTGAGTCAGTGTTGTTTCTCTGTATTACACTGGGTCTGAGATTGAACATGTGTTGCAGATGTTGGCAGTAGGAGTAGTTCTAGTGCGTAACCATAAGCCTCTTGTGCATTTCTTATTTTCAGTCACGCCTATGAATTCATATAAATGTGTGTATCCAGCTGTAGTTTTGATTTTAAACTTGTTACTTCTTATTAGCTTTAATTGCCTTAAAATTCTGATAAAATTTGGAAAAGATGAAACAATGTTAGTATGAATGACTACAGTCATACCTTCATATTTGTAAAGGATACAATCCTTAGATGACTAAATAGCAGAATTAATGAATAAGGTCATGGACATGGTGTTTAACCTTTTGATGAATTTGTATTAGTCTTTGCTTTCTTTGCAGCTTTTTACAGTGCCTGTTACATTGCAAACATCCTCTGTTTTTCTTGTGAAAGGCATAGGTACACATAAAATTAAAAAAAAATGGTGCTCAACTTTGTGAGATGTTACTGGTACGGCAGCAAGGTAAGGTGACCATAGACAGAGTATGATGTAACCTGCCTGGTGGAGATTCAGAAAAAAAATTCTGGCCGAAGCTCATGAGATGCACTATGGGAAACTTAAAATAATATTCCTGATACTATACTGTTCAGAGCTTGACCACACCTACTGAGTTCACAAATAGGATGGATGGGTTCTTTTATAAATTTGTTTTTACCAGCATCCAAAATAAGTTTTTCTAGGGTGAATTTGTAACTATTTTTCAGGCTTCGTTAATGGCTATAATTATGTTTTTATACAGATGTGGAAAGGCATTTTCACAGCAAGCTCGCCTGAAGGCACATCTCATGACTCATACGGGCGTGAAACACATCAAGTGCCTTCTGTGTGAAAAGGCGTACTCTGTTCGTAAATCTCTGCGGCGTCACTTACTTGAGAAGCATGAGATCTCACCAGATCATCCACAATACAAACATTGCTTCTATGCCATGTCTGCTGCTGAGGCTGGCTTACACATTCCAGAAGGAGTTCCTACTAATATTAGCGGAGATCCAACTGAAGGTAAATCTTGTTTATGTGTATTACTGAAGAGAAAAAGGCTGTTGAAGTAAATGTCTGCAATGGTATGGATAGAGAGTAGTGTACTTCCAAATTACTATATTGTCATGTGTTTATGTGACTGAGAAATGGGTTTGGATTGGTAATTGGGTTTATTAATCCCCTACAGATCATAACTGCAATTAATTATTACAGTATTGCTGCTTTACGCAATTGCTCCTCAGTAATCTGTTCAGTCTATCTGCACTAGTTTTCATGGGTTTATAACATGGGAGCTATAACAGTTACTGAATCACACACTCCAGATATTACACATGAATGAAGCCCTCAAATCACACGTTAAATCATCACAAGCCGACCTGTACTCTTCTGTATTCTTAGTCCCAGTTCACTCTGTTCGTGTTCTTCCACTGCTGCTATTTCTGCCAGCTTAGGAATTCTGCTCACTTATGTAGTCAAGGGACAGACATCGACCAATAATAAACATGTCATGTGATCGTTATCTCATGTTGTGATGTCACCTTGTTCATGGAAAACACAGCCTCCTCCATTGTTGTGTAACCTAGCAACGGACTGTGTTTACAGAGCCGTTACAGTATATAGAGGTAAGGAATGATCTTTTCTGTATGCCAAGATAAGGTTTTTGTCAACACAACAAACATTGTTTTTCACTCAATACTCAGATATATGTGTGTGTGCATGGGCGCACACACTTCAAATATAGGAAGACTGGCTTGGACGGGAATGGGAACTTCAGCTTGGTGTGTTACGAAAGTCACAGAGTATGCTTGTAATGGATACTTTTCACGCCCATCTCTCCAGTAGACCCAGAAATATGTTAAGGAAAAAAAACACTGATCTAGTGATAATTCCTAGTGGCATGACAGAGTCAATTACAGCCACTTGGTGTGTCAATCAACAAACCATTCAGGCATCTTCTCTGTAAATACCATGATGCCTGGATGGATAAAGACAATCATATATTGACACCTATTGGCAGAATAAGAAAGGTATCATTATCAATAATAGTGGAGTGGATATCAAAGGCTTGGAAAGAGTTGCCAGTCAACATAATTGAAATATCGTTTTTATTTTGTCTAATGCAGAAGATGGAATGCAAGATGATATTGAAGAAAGCAGTTTTCTGCGATTTGGCACCGTGTATATGTGGTGTTAACCGATGTTTCGGAGGAACGTCGGTTAACACCACATATACACGGTGCCAAATCCCAGAAGACTGCTTTCTTCATAGTCACCGCCGTGAAAGCCTCAAATCTTACAAGATGATATTGTTTGTGATGACTGAACAATTTCCATTTCATTCTTGTATGTTTTCCAGTACTTTTGACTTCAAATATGTTATAAGTATTTTGTTACAATCTAACATGTCCTAAAGTCATAAAAATATGCCACCGGTCTGCCACGTTTAAAAGCTCTGGGCATAAAAATATGCCACCAGTCCGCAAAGTGTTAATTGTAGTTATGACTTGGGAGTATCCATTAAATTTATTCACCCATCCAAACCCTGTCTATAAGTCACTAATACAAAAAAACTGTGGCTTTAGTCTGCAAGCAAAATCTGCCTACTGAGTGACAGCCACTTGTCAGCAAAGTAATTGCCAACTTTAGTGGCTAGAGGGTGTCGCGTGGTCAGTGCAACAAATCCCCATGGCCGTTAATTTCGGTTTTTTAGACCGGAGCTGCTATTTCCTTGAAATCGCTCCTCAGTTATCCTCACGATGCTGAGTAGTCCACGTTCTAGACCCACTACTTCTCAGAAAATATGGTAGTGCCTGGAATTGAACCAGGACCTCTGGATCTGTAGCCAGGATCTCTGACCACTAGACCACAGAGGTGGTCAGTCACTGGTACATGTGACAATATTTCAGAAAATGACTCACATTAAATGAGAACAGGAACTTAACATGTTTGTATAAGTGGGCATTTGTTTCCTGTTAATCACATACACTGTAGAATTTTTAGTATGTGCAGCAACATAGAATAAAAGCCTGCTTCATTGCTCTAATATGTGCTGTAATTTTACTTGGGCAGATGATGATTCAACAAGTCAGTCCTCACCCAAGGAAGAAGAAGAGAAGCCCCAACAACCAGTAAAGAAGTCTCCAAAGAAAGGTGGGACACCTGGAAGAAGAGCAGGATCCATGAAGCAACCCTCCACATCTGCAGCATTTGAAGATTACTCTAGCATTCCGTCAGGGAAAAGTGAAGTTCAGAAAACTACCCGAACAAAGAAGTCACCTGCTTCAAAGAAAGCTTCAAAACAAAATGAAGACAAGACTTTAGCAACTCCAAGTACATCTGGAGAGGGTCGTCATCGGATATTAAAGAAGAACAGACAGAAAACTTCACCTCGGAAGGTAACAAGGAAAGAAAGAGGAACAGAGGAATTTGAGGAAGATACAGCTTTAGCTGCTGTTGCGGGTGGTGAGGACAGTAATTCCCTCAGCAGTACTCCAGAAGTAGTAACACCTCAGAGAGGAAGACCACCTCGTAAAAAAAGAGCAAATAGTAATGCTTCCAGAGTAAAGCAAACAAGAACACGAGGATCCCCAGCACGTAAACAGTTTGAGAATAATAAGCCTGCAGAATCACCTTCAAAAGCCAAAAAGTCTCCGTCTTTAACCATCAATGTGGGTACAACTCGGAAAAAACGAAGGGTCGAAGCCATAGTAGAGACCTTACAGAAGTCTACAGGGTCTCCAAGTGGCTGTAGTCTGAAAGAAGAAGAAGTGGAAGGTGCTGAATCAGAGGGCGGAATTGCTGAAGGAGGAGATGCTGCTAGCATTGTTGGTGGCGGTGATGACAATGATCAAGATATCTGTGCTGGTGATGGCAGCAATGATGGAGAAGAAGATAATGGTAACAGCAGTAGTGGTGGAGGCTTTGATGCGGTACCAACATTAGCAAGAATAACACCTTTGATAACACGGAATGTCCCTAAGAAAGGGGCACAGATAATTGGAGATTCTGGACAAAAGAAGTATATACAAAATTTGCAACATTCACCAGCTCAATCTTCAAAATCTTCTCCATTAGAAGATGGTGATGATGAGTGTAGCTAGAATTTACTTTCAGAATTATGTAATGAAGAGTAAGTTATCAAGAAACCAGAGTGGGTAATGGGATTTCTTTTTTCTTTAGTGATAAACTGTATTCTTGAATTGTACAGAATTCCATACTAACATTTGGGATTGATGTGTATTTTCCCATGGTTGAGAAGTCCATGTGGTAACCAGTGGATGAAATTGACTCATCTTTGTTAATTGTTGCAAATCTTGGCTTAATTTCAGAAAATGATTTGGAATTTGAATGCATAAAAAAAAATTAACAGATCTCTAGATATGAAATTTATAGGATGCATAATAACTGGATACCACATGGAGATTCTTCACAGTTATGAATGCTTGTGTATTGGATTGTAGCTGCAACTTTAGAAAATATGTTGCAATGTAAGGAAATGGAAACCACAAACAAGAAAGCTCATCTGTAATCCAAAGAAGGCCAGGAGTAAGAGCATAAGTATATTTTATCAGTGTATAAATAGACTTCAATGTTAGATGAAAATGTAGTGGAAGCTTTCAAAATTACAAAACAAAAAACAAAAAAAAAAAGGTATTTTTGAAAATCAGTTTCTTCATATAACAAACATTAAAACTGATTTTCTGTATAGAATCATGAGGCATTATCAAGTAATATTACTATTTACTATCCAGTAAAGAGTCAGTCAAATACATAAGTTCATACAGGTTAGGGTTGCCAATATTTTCTGGATTTGGGTAATAAATTGATATGGACTATAATAAATCTCATTGTCTGGTGTTTCATGATGATGTCAGCACTATGTTAATTTTCTAAAACATATTACCATTATTTGTTATATACTGCAAAGTGAGTATTTGTTGATGTTGCATGCTATTGTTTTACTATTCTTATTGTGGTTGTTGAAATGAAATATGTTTGAGAGAACCAAATTAGGTAAGTCAGTTGAATTATTTTTCTAACACGGTGAATGGGCCGCATTCTCTAGTTTAGCCAGTCCATGTTGCAGAGAGTAATGACAGTAGTCAAACAACCACATTGTATTTATTAATAATGTAAGTAAAGTGTTTACATTTTCACATTAATCTAAAAAGCCTAGTAAGATAGCTTTATTTTTGTCAGGCATACAAGTCTAAGGTAAGTAATCTGTTTCTGAAATATCTTTGAGGGTGCACCGTCATCAGATAGTGAATGTAGATTATTGCATCATTAGAAAGTTACTAGATTCTATTTTCAACATACATGATGGGAACCAAAATAGCCATATGGAGATGTCAGTGAACACAGGACTTTTCTTGTGGAAGGTTGCCTACTCAGGGTACCTTCAGAGATGTTTTAGACCACTGTTTCTCAACCACTGGGCCCTCGTCTTGTAGGAAAAAGAATCTACCCGGCCGCGGTTTGACAGGTTGAGAACCAATGTTTTAGAAGTACTTCAACTTGGTATGGTTTGTTTTCTGTAGGCCTGTATTCTGCTAAATATTCCTTTCTTTCACACTTTACATTATGTTAGCAGATACTTATTTCTAATGCCAAAAATGCTTCTCAGAAAATCTGTGTTACAAAAGGAATAAGAGTGTATTATAATCCAGATACTGTTCAGTATGGGTGCTGCTTGTTACCAGCATTCATCAGTAAACAGTGAAGACTTTTACATTTTTCTCAGGTTATTAGGAATGACAGTAAACTCTTATACATACAGTTTCTAAGATTTGCACATATAAAGGGTAAGGTACTTCGGTATTTTTACTCTTCACATATTAAATGTTGGCAACTCTAATAGTGAATTATGAAATGAAATAATACAAATGATTTTTTATAAACTCAGGATAATCATTTTTCACCCAGTTTTTGGTCATAAAGATTTGTGGACCAGATTCAGAGACACACATAATTCTTGTATTGTTAAGGTGCAAATTTTGAGTGTAATTTTAATATATTTTGTATTCTAAATAATGCTGTGTTTAAAAAAGAAAACGAGTAATCCCCCTTTATATTGTAGAATGCAATTGTAAACGTTTAGTGCAAGGAGTATAAGAACTGCAACAAAATTCTTTTTGACAAGCCACACACATAATGTGTACTCATTGAATTTTGCCATGAGTTAAAGAGCCCTAAATTTTAAATATTATATATATGTTACGGGATTCATGGTTGTATAGGAGATCTGTGCAAGGTCACAACACTAAAAAATTTGATACCTTGCCAGTATATTGACTGGTGAGGTTATTTATTTTTGGCATTCCTAGTGATAATGAGAGATGAAATATTGGAATGAAGGTCAAGTTACATCTAAAGAAAGCTGCTACAGTGCAAAGTTGTTCATTTGTGAAGTTCCATATAAATTTAACAAAAATAAAGTTGAATTTATAACAAATCAAGTGTAACCATAAGAAAAATATTGGAGAATTTAGAATGAAATTTTGCCCATTTAAGTTGAGCATTCAAATTTGTGGCACTCTGTAAATCTGGTTGTAAGATATATTGTGTGCTGCAGTGCATTAGAAAGTACAATGTCTTATCTATAAATGTGTCTTTCTGTATGCTGTAGTGTAGCATGTAGCATGGCTGAATGATTATGATATCACAAGTTAATTAAAAGGCATGACAAATGGTGTGACAATTTATCATTACTGAGACTGCTGGCATTTAAAGAAGTGCCTGTCTTGTCATGACTGATAATTTTATTCCTATATTTTGTTTCATAATTCTTTGAGTATGCATTTCTCAGTGGCACATTCAGTAGTTGCAATTTTATTTCCTGAATTTACATTCCCTCATGTCTTATTTTATACTTCATAAGGCTTTTTTTTTGAAGTGCTACAATTGTTGAACAGTGTACTAAATCTGTGGCTGTTTTACTGTTTTGTGTTGTCAGGCACCTTAAAGAAATCTGATAATTTACTGAAACAGAGTTTTGTCATATTTTGGTAAGTGGAATAGAAGCAAAAAATAGTTCCAGCATCATTTGAACATATATTTCTCATAACTGAAATTTGAAGTAAACGTTTAAAGTTATCCAGACAGTATTCATGATGTTTAGAATTTAAAAATGTATTTAAATTTTAAATATTAACATTTAAGCATGAATTACTCTATATAAAACTTTGAATGACAAAAGAAGATCAACATTTTTTCTAAATGTGTTTTTGTACAATTTTTGCCACATGGTTTCTATGTAGCATAACATCTTCATCTTGTCATGTAGGTATTTTATAGAATAATAACTACTTTCAGTTGTTGCGTGGGTGTCGTCCGATCATCTTTGAATCAAATATGATAAAAAGTACAACATAATTTAATTAGTTGTACGAGGTTTAATTGTTTTGTAGGGAATGGAACATTTGTGTTCTGAATTTTTTTAAAGATATTCGTAGTGAATAATAATAATAATAATAATATTAATATGCAGTAAAGTCAACCCAGTAAGTTTTGCTATAATAAATTGAATACCACATTTGATTGTAGATAGTCATAATTATCCAAGAGGGTCCAACATGGCAGACATAATTTTCTGTACATGTTGGGCCTTAATGTACAGGCAAACATATGGTTGCTGCTCTTCTTGTTTCTTTATATTGGATTAACCTATTAAGGTATTTAATTTCTTGCAAGCATAGCTTAGGGAATTGACTGTACATCAACACACACATACACATTCATATTCTGCAACCCAGTATTCGTTTTCAAGCCGAATACCAATCGCATTGTTAAGTTTGGTAATAGCCTATTCTAAACTAACAGCAAGGGTTTTTTTACAGTGCAGAATCATGCGACTGATGTTTTTTTAAAAAGATATGTATAACCGGGTATATTTTATAATAACGATACAATACATAAATACACTTTGTTACCATATGCTTACAGGATTCTAACATTCAACACCACTGTTGAATATTAAAAACAGGAATGGTTTAGCAAGTCATGGATCAGTAATTTTATAACTGAGGACAACTGCCCGAAACTGTTACAAAGATGTGCAGTAGCATGAAATTCTGTCAGATAATTTCCAGCTGGTGCTTGTGACGAATTAATTGTATAGTAATAGAGCACTGATTGGAGGAATTTGAGGGCATTTCAAGTTTTCTTCCTTTTCTGTGATGGCCATTTTATTGGCTTGTTGTGATGTGAACAAATGAATGTCATGTTAAGATGTTCTTTCCCACTTCATTAAGTGTGTATGGTCCGTTAGTTAAGGGGTGTTTGGAATTTCAGGTTACAGCCGGTTATTTGAAATCTTTCTAACTCCAATTTGAATAACTTCTTATCTCGTCATTAGTAAAACATGTTAGTATGGTGTCCAGGTACCTCAACCAGTGTTCAAGAGTAACGTACTTCGAAGAACATTTTAAATGTTCTAAATGTAATGATGCCACTCACAGAATCATGTATTCTTTATTAATCATTCTTTTGCCATATTAGTTCTATTCTGTTTTTTCTTCCCCAACCCCTAAAAAGAAGAAAATTATATAAACAGCAGATGTACATTTTTGATCATATTTGGAAGGTAACTCTTTAATAACTTTGCAGTAGGATGTATCAAAATTTCCAATCCTGACACTTTTATTTTCTCTCATATGCATAAGTCCTGTGTTTTGAAATTGTTCTTGATAGGCACTGTAATAAGGCCAGTTACATCCAGAGGGTTAAGGAACAGGCAATGAATCTTTATCATCTGGGAACAGAGTGTCCCAGTACAGTGGTGCTATCAGCCAGATCTTAACTTGCGGTAATGGTATTTATACTGAAAACAATGCACCACTGTGCCTGCTCTACCCACACATGCATCATCACAGATGATAAAGGTTAAGCCTAATTCAGCATAGTTTATGATGAAGATGAAAAACTGTAATATATACTTAATAATCAGCTAGTGATGATATGTGAACTGTACAGACTTATTTTGAACACTGAATCAGATATATTAAGAGTAAGTATTATGTGAATATTCTTGCATTACTAATATTGAAGGTGAACTGCTGTAAACATACTATAGACACAGGAAATATTTAGACTGATTGCCCATAGCATTTTGATCCAAGGCTTGCCAGACCTAACTTCAGGATAAACCAATGTTTTCGTTGACAGTTGTAAAACACATATAGCAATTATACTGGGTCTACCTCATTGCCATACAAATATACCAATAGTTTTTAAATATGATCATTGTTTTATATTATTAAATGTTATTGTGTATTTTATTGTGTAATAGCTGGTTGTGGCGTCATGACGCAATGCCAGTCTGCTACTGATCAGGTGGTGTGTGAATTTATTTTCAGTACAGGATGAGCAAATGGGAAACAGGAAAGTATAAAAATTTAAAAAATAATGTTCAAGTACAAAAATAATTAGTAAATTGTGCTTTTTTTCCTCCCCTTTTGAAAAAAAAAAATTGAAATGGCTGGATTTTGTAACGTGTTCCATGTAATTTTATGTGTTATATATATTTCTTACCTTTGAAAGTTGTCTACAGGTACAGATTTAATTCATAAATATAGGTGCATAATTAGGATTACTGTATCAGAATTATGGGTCCTTTATCATAATGGCATGAATTTTCTTCCATTATAAAAGGAAAGTTAAAGGGCCTTGTTTTTTATGGTAGCAGTTTAATGCTATGCCTTGGCTTGTAAGAAGTTGAAATTGAGACCTAGGCTTAATTCTAAAAGAGAAAAGGGAATGATGTTCATGAAAATTAATGCCACTTGATACTGGTATAAAATTATAATTATGGAATGTAATGTGTGAAATTTGTAAGCCATTTGGGTAATATTTAGATTCTGAAATGCAAAGTAATAAGTCACCAAGGCATAGAATTAAATTTGTACTTGAGAATACAAAATTTGAATGAAAACTGCACCTCTCTTCATCCACTCTGTGCTGTGTGGTTTATCGCTATAATGATGGCAACAAAGGAATGGAAATAAAATTGAAGTGCCAGTATCAATGTAGGTAATGTAAAAATGTCATCATTGTTGTAAGTTTTTTATGTAATTTTTTTAGAAGACAATGACATTTTTACAGGTAACATCTTTTTAAAATATGAGCATTGATATTTCATATTGCGAACATAAGTGTAGTCATCATGGAAGAAATAAATATATTTCAACCCATATTGCCAAGTGTAGTTATTTCATACACAGATTACTGTTATTTCTGTGCATTTTGCAGTTTAACAGAAATGATTTCTATACATTTCTACCATGACTAAAAATTGTATTTGAATATTTCTGGTAACCAAGTCAGGATTTACCTGCAGCGTGTTAAAATTAATCATTATTGTCTGTGCATCATGATATGTGGCAGTGCATGTGAGGGTGCAGTACACCTAGCATTGCACTATGTACAATATAAATACCACTGGGATAGTCCAGAGTGTATTGTCACTAGGCTACAGGCTGGACAACTGAGGAGACGGTTCGATTCCTAGCAGGGGCAAGAGATTATCTCTTCTCCATAATGTCTACACCAGCTCATGGGCCCAATCAGCTTATACAGTGGGTACCAGGGGCTCTTTAACTGCAGATAAAGCAGTAGGAGCATGAAGCTGGCTACTCAGCATCTAGTGCTGAGGTTAAGAATGATTGTGTTTTACTTCATTCTCTCCGGTGTCTTAATGCCGTGGTACTTATTAATTAAGACCAGAGATAACTTCACTTCTGACTTACCGCCAAGTTAAAATCTAACTGCCAAAACTATAGTAGTGGAACATTTGAAGCCCCTGATCACATATGATAAAGGTTAATCAGTTTTGCATTTTTGTTTAATGTTTATTCCCATATGAATATTACAAAGCATAGGAGACACAGAAACTTATGAAAACCCTGATTTCTCATGTTAAACATTCCCATGAATTTATTATGCATTGGCAGGCCTGTGTCTTTGTAGATAGCAGAATAAAATTTAAATGGATTTTGGATAAATTGAGAGTGTGTGGTCCAGGGTCCAGTTGGAGTTTTGTGAACATAGTAATGAATGATCTGGTTCCATAAGAAGCAAGGAACTCCTTCATTAGTGAGTAGTAGGTTCTCAAGTAGATCTCTGCTCCATGAGTTTCTGTAATTTATGTCCCAAATTTACAGTTTAACTCGCTGAAGTGTGAAATTTTTCTAAATATCTAGAAAGCAAGTGTCAGCTTCACAGAATAAACCCTGCAGCTGTGTTAAAAATACAAGTGTGTTATGCTGTTTAGGGAAATAGTTGCCGTTTATTCTGAGAATCGCATGATTCTACCACCGCTGTTTGGTGGTGGCAAAAGTTAGGAAGAGACACAGCGACATAAGCAAGCAACACACAGAGTTCATAGGGAGATGTTCAATCTCAAGAAATTAAAACGAGGTAGAGGTTAAAGAGTAGGATCATATTGAAACCTCAGATAGGTTTGCAGCTTCAGAAATCTTCGATGCTGAGGTGGATATTAGTAGAGTGTAGGAAACTATTAGAATATAAACGCTTCATCCAAAGAGAGTCTAGACTATTACGAATTGAAGAAGCATAAGCCATGAGTTGATGAAGGATGCTCAGAATTATTAGACCTAAGGAAACAAGTCAAATTGCAGTGTTTACAGGATCAAAGCAAAATAGACGGGGATAATCTGAACAATATAAGATTTGAAGCCAGCAGGCACTTCAAGAAATAAAAAGACGGAATATCTTAAAGATAAAATTGATAAGATTGCAACAAACAATAAGAACAAGAACATTAAAGACCTGTATACAGGAATAAATTAGTTTAAGAGGCGTTACCAACCTAGAAATAACTTTGTAAAGGTAAATAGAGACTGGTGATCTGCTTACAGATTCCCACAATATTTTGTATATGTGGATGAACTGGTTCTCTCAGTTATTGAATGTACATAGGGTCAGTCATGATAGGCAGAAAGAAGGTCTGCGCCATAGCTCAAGCGGTTAGTCACTGGCTTCCCACTGCGTCGGCCCGAGTTCGATCCCGACTCTTGTAAAGTGGGATTTGTGGTGGACAAAGTGGCGCTGGGGCAGGTTTTCACCGAGTACTTCGGTTTCCCCTGCCAATCTTCATTCCACCAATTGCTCCACCATCACCCTCACCTATCATCTGGGGCTGGTACAATAGGCCAGAAGTGACCGCAGTTCAAGGGACTTAGTCCCTCCCCACTAGCAATAAGAAAAAAAGTAGGCAGAATGAAATAGATACAGCTGGGCTGTTAGTACCTGATCCTGGTCCTTCTGAGGTTGAAATTGCTATTGCAAAGTTGAAATGTTATAAATCACGAAGTAGTGATCAAATTCTTGTAGAACTGATTTAAGCAAGAGGTGAAATATTACATTCTGAGATCCATAACTCCGTGATTTTAGTCCGCAAGCGAACTATACCGACCGAGCGACCACCAGAAGAATTGCCTGACCAGGGAAAGGAGTCTATTATCAGACCAGTTCAAAAGAAGGGTGATAAAACTGAGCGTAGTAATTATCGTGGTATAACACTGCTATCAACTTCATACAAACTTTTATCCAATATCCTTCTCTCAATGTTAAGTCCATATATAGATGAAATTATTGGGGATCATCAGATCATCAGTGTATATTTCGACATAACAGATCAACCACTGATCTGCATTCATCAGACACTGGAGGAAAAATGGGAGTACAATGAGACAGTGCATCAGCAATTCATAAACTACAAGAAAGCCCATGATTTAGTTAGGAAGGAAGTATTGTACAATAGAGTTTGGGGTACCCATGAAACAAGTTAGGCTGATTAAAATGTGTTTAAAGGGAACATTTAGTAAGGTCCATATAGGTAAACATTTGTCTGATAATTTTCCCAACCAGAATGGTCTAAAACAAAGAGATGCTTTATCGCCACTGGTTTTTAACTTTGCTTTACAATATGTCATTAGGAACGTCCAGGAAAACAAGGTGGGACTGAAATTAAATAGGACACATCCGTTTATAGTCTATGCTGATGATGTTGATCTGCTGGGTGATAATATAAATACCATAACGAAAAACACAGAAACTTTAATTGATGTTAGTAAGGAGGTTGGTCTAGTAGTAAACACAGAGAGAACTAAGAATATGTTGCTGTCTCATCGCTGGGATGCAGGACAAAATCTTGACATAGAGATAATGGCACAGTTCAGATATTTGGGAACAACAGTAACAAATCGAAAACTTGATTCAGGAGAAATTAAGAGGACACTGAATTTTGGTAATGCTTTCTTCTATTCAGTCCAGAACATTTTGTCTTCTCGCCTACTGTCTAAAAGCATAAAAATTAGAATATATAAAACTACAATTTTGCTTGTGGTTCTGTATGGGTGTGAAACTTGGTCTCTGACATTAAGGGAGGAACATAGACTGGGGGTGTTTAATTACAGTTTAATTTAATTTCAGTAGAAAATTTCAGTATGCGAATATTTTATTTAAAATATTTTTTTTTTTAATTCGCTTAGTGGGGGGTGGAGTCCAACTGGGTCCACTCGGCACGGCGGCCACTGACTGACAAATTGTAGCCCGCCCCGGGTGATTATGATGATGCAGAATTTGGTAGAATGAACATTGGCGGGGGAAATCGAAGTACTCGGAGAAAACCTGCCCCAGCGCCACTTTGTCCACCACAAATCCTACTTGACCAGACCCAGGGATGGAACCAGGGCCGCCGCGGTGTAAAGCCAGCGACTAACCGCTTGAGCTATGGCGCGACCTCATTTAAGATATGTTCCAGTTTGATTTGTCTGCACATTGTGGTACAAAAATTATTAGTTCCAAGAAATAGTTTATGTAGGATACAATTACTGCTGAATTATACAGTGTTCACCTAACACGTACTTTTTTTTCCTTGGCACTACAGCCCCAGTGGGCCTAGGCCTACCTCCATGAACTTCTCCGTTTCACTTCGGTTTTTCTAGATCTTACACATACGGTAGGACTCTTTGGGAGGGTGATCAGCTCGTCGCAAGGCCTCTACCTGTACACAAACACAGAAAAACGCACACACAAACTAAACATCCATGCCCTGAGTGGGATTCGAACCCACGATCCCGGCTTCCGAGCGAGCGAAGACAGTGCATGCCTTAGACCGCTCGGCTACCGTGACCGGCATTTTACCATCTAGGCTACATAATTAAGTTACTGTGATGTTCACTCAATTGTTAACTTGCTTCAAAATAGTACGCTTATATTTATTTATAGATCTTTGTGTCCTCTATCTGCAACTTTTTCACTGTTTCTCGCGTTTGATAAAAATATACATTTCTGATTTTGCTCTCGGATATATTGTTTCATGAGGCTGAAACAATATATCCGAGAGCAAAATCAGTAAAAGTAGATTTTTATCAAACGCGAGAAACAGTGAAAAAGTTGCAGATAAAGACACAAAGATCTATAAATAAATATAAGCGTATTTATTTATAAAGGAAAGAGACCACAGGGAAGACCAAGGCGTAGGTGGGTGGACAATATTAGAGTGGATCTTAGAGAGATAGGATGGGATGGTATGGATTGGATAGATCTGGCTCAGGATAGGGACTAGTGGAGGGCTCTTGTGAACACGGTAATGAACCTTCGTGTTCCATAAAATGCTGGGAAATTCTTGAGTAGCTGCAGAATTGGCGGCTCCTCCAGAAGGGCTCAGCTCCATGAGTAAGTAAGTAAGTAAGTAAGTAAGTAAGTAATATATTGTTTCATACAGTTAAAAAACTAGTTGAAAGATTGTGTTGTAGTTAACTATGTCAATCCACAGTGTTTACTGTTGGATCTTGAATTAATGAAGTTGTTTACGTTTTGACGAAGAGGCGCATTTGAATCTTACGTTGTGCTGTGTTTTTCAACTATACGAGTATGGTAATGAAGAAAGGAAGTAGTTAATAATGCTTTAATGAATTCCAGTCTTCACAATTTTTAGACAATAGATTTACAGATGTAATGGTTCATCTTTCCTGAGATATCGAGCGAATTATAATTCTTGATATTTATTTATATCGGCTTTCTTTAGTGCATCATGAGTCCCACTCAAGTTACATTGATGATTTCATGCTTGGGAACTAAAATGAGGCAGTTCCATCTCTCCTTTACATATTGCTAAATTGTGGTTAGGTTAAAACCATATTTCTGAGAGTACATTCACAGAGTACA